AAAGCGTGTGAGTTATCAACAGGCGGCACGTGCTTAATACTTGAAGTAGGGATACAATGCCAAAGATATGACCCTTGAAATATAGAAGTTGAGCATGATTTTGCCTTTTAGGTTTCCCTCTTCGTTTAAAGTTCAAGTCTTTATGTATCCTTGTTGCTGTTGTTTGTTTAGGACTTTGTTTTGATTTAGTGCCAAAATTGTTTCACATTATTTACATAAAACCTAGAAATTCAATGTGCGCAAATAAATTTGATTTATTTGTTCGACTTTTTCTTCATTTTACTCAACAGCACTGTGGAGGCATTTACAATCCACCAAGCCCTGATAGATTTATTTGCGCATGGTCATAAAACTAACCGCTAGTTATCCCGCGGGTCTTATAAAAAGTGGCCGATATAAATGAAGCCTACACACTTACTGATATGTACATACTCGTATACTTATATGTCGGCCATTTCCGTTTCACTTTATTTACCCTGAGTTACACTCTCTTTTGATTGCCAGTCGTAAAATGCGCTTTATAATTGAATTTCTGCTACATGCATTGCTTAAATGAGACCGACTTTTCTTCAAACTCCACTGGCTTCTATCTTAATGTGATGCAATTGGTTTTCACGAGCGAACCTTCCACCTTCGACCTAGCATTTTGTACATTTGCATTGTCCTTGTGAAACAATTTGCACTCTTGCTGAGTCAGAGTCGTAGCCTACAAAGGGTGCTGCTTTCGTTAAGCGCTCGCCTTCTGCTCAATTAATTCTAATTAATTTTTAGCCGAGAGTAAACGAACGTTATAATTGGCCCTAAGGCGTGTTTAGACTTTTTAGTTAATGGCGGCACTCCATAATTAAAAAAGTTTTCAAATGTGGATTCATTTTGCGCCGAACCTTCATATGAAGATAATTAATTAAACATGATATTATGTTCGAATAAAGGCGCGCACTCGTACTATATGTGTGCACAAATGTATCTATGGGGGAAAGATAAAATACTTGTTCACTTAATTCATTGCTTTGTAATCAAAATATACACATCTGAAAAGTCTAGTGCGTCTAATTATCTAAAGTTTATATCATCTTCCATGCAAAACAATTTCTTGGTGTCCGCAAAAAAAGAACTGTAGATAACCTGTCATCCCTTTAGTTTGCGTTCTAGAAATGCTTATGTACACTAGAAACAAGGTATTATCCAAAATGTCATTAAGCTAACATATTTTTAAGGTTAAGTTTTGAAGACTTATGTATATGTATTAAGGAATTTTTCAAATTGTGAAAATATGAGCTTTAATACAAAACGATGTTGACCAATTTGATGGAGTTCGTAAACGGGAATGGTTACATTTTTAATCTCTTATTAAGGGCATTACAGCTGAAGAGAAGTGGTACTCTGTCTGGGTTTGTAAACGTGTGGGCATGGATGTGTATGAATATGAATAAGCGGATTTGCGATGCTGGCGAAGATAATAAGATTGTAAACTATGGAGTGGCACAAGGCAGAAGGATACTCGCTAATTGGCTCGTTTGTTCTCACACAATGTACTATTTATATTTATTTTTGTAAAATGCTTCAAAAATCAAAACTTGCTTTCTACCTATTTTTGGAGTTTCTACTTGTACTAACAAGTTGGAACGGCTGTGGCACATTTTATTCATCTAGAGAATATCTTCATTTGAATGTTGTGCTCGAATGTAAATTTTCGGCCATAATGCCAAATTTAAGTGTTGGTATTACTTTGCAAAGCACTCGTATTCTGCATTTATTAGGCATCCCCTGGAGACGGCACTGCACCGACCAATTCTCATAGAGATATGGCGCATTGTACAGTTTGCATATCTCAATGCATTACGGCATTATGGCATGGTAGGGGAGAATTCTGTTAACAGCAACCGTTTTCGCACCGCATCCAAGCAACCGGTAGTTCTTCGTTTGCCTGACAGTGCCAGCTGCGCTGTTGTCGTCGCTGTTGGTGTCGCTGTTGCGTCGCTGTTACGCAGCTGGTGCTGTTATTGTGTTTTGGGCCAGCACAGAAATTCTGTTGTTCGCACGTTTGTGCTTTTTTTTTTTTGGCTAAAATCAGTCATTTGGATGCTGCGACGGGCATTTGTTGTGGCGCGCGCAGTTCGCGTTCCGAGTTCAGCGCAAACATTTCGAAAACCAAAGAGCCCCAAAAACGAGAACAGTACCCAAAACTCGAATCGAAGCGCGCGCGCACGCGTTTTCACGAAATAAATGCAAATCAAGTAAAGTTATTGTTGTTGCCATTGTTATTTCTGTATGGAAATTTAAGTTGCTTATGCTAATTATAACATAAAAATTTATGCACGCATATAGATTTAAATATGTGATAAGCGGCAGACTGCTGGGTATACGCTCTACTTATAAACAAGTTACAGAAACACCAAAAACACCAAAAAAATATTAACAAAACGCAATAATCTAAATTTGCTAGACTCGCTCATCAATCAACATTTAGCAGCTTGTAAAAACATGTGCCATTGCCGAATTCGGCAAATTCAACATAAAAGTAAACATGACTATGCAAGCTCATACATACATACGAATATATGCACATACATACTATATTCCATTGTGGCCGTGTCAGTGGCGAGATTTGTGGAGTGCAACGCACGCGAAAAATGCGAAAAATTCGAAGAAAACAACAAAAAACAGAAACAAAATCAAAGCAGTTTAAAGCAATAACAAAAGAGTGCTTAAAAATGTGGCAGCTCGAAATTTCTTCGTTTAATAAATTTCAATTAAACGTGTTTTAAATGCCCAAACACTTACGACGAGTGGCGACTGATTAACAAAAATATAATTAATTGCTATTAAGGAAATAATGCAAATATTATAGCCAGGCACACTGCCTGATGCTCAAGTTGCACATTCAAATTGTGTGTCCGTGTGTGTGTGTGTGTGGCTTCATTAATCAACTACTACTCTGTCGTCGTCTTAATCACAGCAGTAGCTACTTCGACAGACACGCCCCAGATGCACCCGCGATTAAATATGTTACTATATGTACATAGATAGACTGTGTAGACCGAGAAACAGTTATTCATTTCTTCTATTGTCTGAGAAGAGAGCAAGAAACAACAATCTGAGTATATTACATAACTCAGTACAGTTGTCTGGTGAAACAATAGACGTCTATATTAATGCCATCAAAAGAACTTGTTTTATGCATTTATGTTAGTGGTAATTAATGTTGAGTAGACTTTGTGATTTAGTTGCGAGAGTTTGAGGTACTATATAACTCAACTGATAAATTATTACCATACATATATCAATGGTGATAATAATTTGATAGTTCGCAACGCAGCGAATAAACATGTTAGAAATTCCGCAACCATATTCTTTTCTCTTAAAAAAATAAATGCCTTCACACTGACATACACATAAATACACACCACTTTTCTCCATTAAATGACGTTTTACAAGAAATCAAAGGAATACCAAATGTGAACTAAAGCTTACAATTCTTCTCTAGTATTCTAGTATAAATAGGAAATATATTGAAAATCGAAAGTTCTATTTCAAAACGGTTTCTATTAAACATTTTTCATATGATGCGCAAAAGAAAACAGAGGAACAGGATATGATTCGACATAGCACTTTATGAAGCACATACTATGTATGAAAATTCAACTTTATTTTCAAGAACTTTTTACTACTAAATTTCTTTAAAAGGGAAATGCAAAATATATACAAATTGGGAAAAATATTGCCTTATAATATAAGCAACTTGGTAATTGCAATGAACAAATCTTGCAAAAGCATTTTAAATTTGGAAATATTTTGCAACTCGTAAAACGGGAACCGGCTTGTGTATATTTCTGGAGAGACATATAACTTTTATTATTTCTGAAGGCAGATGTGGGTAGCAGTAAAAATAAATTTTAAAAAATTTGCATTTCTTGTTGCAAATTTTTAAAAATATGTAGATTTGCTCACAAATGTACTTGAATATACATTTTTAATGTTTAATAGTATACAAACACTCAATAAATGCATTCAATATCATAACTAGTAGAGCTTCAAAGTGAAAAGTAATGTACTTGAGGATATTAGATATGTGCACAAGTTTATTTCGGAAGAATTTAAATTTTTAAAAAGAAAAAACTTACAGCGCTATGAAAAGATTTTAACAAGGTTTGACAAAGCTCTAGACTTGCTTGAATGTCAGTTTTATCAAAGGCTAGGGGCTGAGAATTAAAATAAGCATCAAGTATAGTCAACCATTTTAAAAAGAAAATTAAATGTGGATTTTGAATTATTACATAACACAGAGAACTTTTAGTTAATTTGAAAAGTCATTCATGAATTTATAATCATAAAAGAAAAAAGTATTTCATTTTTAAAACACGAATATTCATCCAGCACTTAAAGAAGAAAAAACATTCATAGTTCTTTGATATGCGCGCAGTATAGACGAAATAAATAGTTTCTATTTAGTTAAGCGACAGTGTGCATAGTTTTCTGAGTTTTATCTAAATGTGGAAAACGCTCAAGCCTCAAACGATTGTTTAAATGCCAATTCAGCCATGTGTTGCTTTTGGCGCTTTCAACGACCACCATTAATGGGCGCATTAACATCTGTATATAGTTGTATATATGTATGTATGATTTGTATATGGACTAGACCAAACAAAATATATACGTGTTGTATTAACAATCAAATCAAATCAAATGATTTGAGGCGCTCGTACAGATGGTTTTGTTATATTCGGTCGCCTGTTTTATGGCAGGCTGGATGCATAATTTTGACAGTGACAGTGAAATAATAAAAAATATATATATATAAAACAGAAACAAAACAAACCATGCTCAGCCAAAAACCAGTTTTCATAATTTATATTCGACAACATTCTTTGAAAATGTGCAACTATTTAAAATGTTGTATATTAATGCCTAATACATAATGTTGGCGAATTTCGGCGCATGAATGAATATGCAAATAAGTAGCTAAAAAGTGTAGTCGGCTGAGAGCTGTAGACTCCACAATGACCTTGTCAAAAATTGAAATTAATGAGCATTTAGTAAAGGATCCCTTTTGTGAAAAGGGCTCGTCTGCTCCAGCTTGGACTTGTTGAAAGATGCTTGGCAAATTTGGCATTAAAATACTTACAGTAAATGCCACTTAGCAATTCAAATTAATTCACAGTTAGTATCAAGTGGGCAATAGGTGGGCCGGCAATGCTGGGTGGCACCGATTTGGGGCCAGCTGCGAAGGCTGTCACATTGCCAGGTAAACAAGACATGCAAAATTTACACACTGCTGGATAATGGATAATTCATTTTAGGCTGGCAGGCTGGCAGGCAGGCGGGCAGACAGACAAGGACGAAACGAAGGAAATAGAAAATTGTGCGTAGAGTCTAAGGGAAAATTGATGAGTGTTTTGTGGGAGCAAATGGCAAACTTTGCCCATTATATTGAAATCGTTCAATTGTGGAAGGCAGTGGAGTGAGCAACAGCATGATGAGGAGATTGTATCTCCGATTTGACAGCAAATGATAAAGCAAAACCTAAATACAATAAATGAGCTCAGGTACAATTATGTCTACCCCATTGCAGATACATCATAACTCAGTCAGGAGAGCGCACAGTCCAATGACTCTTCCTCAGTAAATTGACGAGCAACAAAAAACACATTTTCCTTCCCCCACATGAAGGCCAAGATGTGGAATCTAGCTAAAAATGATACAATGGAGCACTTGGACTCGCACATGCCACTGTTGAGTGACTTGCAAATGTTCCAAAATGAAAAATTCTATCTGAACTTGACCCAAGTGCTGAACATTTCGGCGGAGAATCTCACCAATCTGCTGCTCAGTGTGCAGCAGCAGGAGGAACATGGCACCCAGACCAGTCCAGTGGCTACACAAACACCCATGGTGCTTCTGACCATTCTCAGCATCTGTTATGCCCTCATCTTCATCGCTGGAGTGCTCGGAAATCTGATAACTTGCATCGTTATCTCGCGCAATAATTTCATGCACACCGCTACGAATTTCTATCTATTCAATCTGGCCATATCGGATCTAATATTGCTGTGTTCCGGTGAGTTACAGAGTGTTGTACATCAATGCAAAAGTACCCTAAGGCAGCGGTCAGGCATGCAAATAATTTTCCTACACATGTTAGAAGGACTAGAGTTCTTGATCGATGCAAATAAATAAAATTTGCTTTTAAAACTAGTACTTAGAGAGTTCCCATATAGCCAAATTTCTTAGTTAAATTATATTGAAATAATAATTTAATTTAATTTAAATAAAATTATTGATATATTTTTTTTAAAATAGTAGCTTTTCTGTTACTGTTCTGTGCAGTAGCTTTTCAGAAGCCAGACTGTAATTTATGCTACTATCTAGTTGGAAATACCATTTTAAAATATAAAATTAAAATCAAAGACTTGAGATGCGATTTAATCTTTAACAGTAGTCAACCATCTATATTCCTCCTATATTCCGCCACGTCCATGCCTATTGTCTTCGCTTTGTTGGTTTTATTGTGGTAAAGAATCTAAACAGTGTTTTGCACACAATGTTTCATTACTGTACAGTCATCAAGCTAATTTCGAGTTGTTAAATATTTGAATTTCATTAGCCATTCGCACTCTCCCACTCAAAGGTAACAGATTCTGAACTTAAACAAGTTCGTTTTAGATAATAAAATAATAATAAATAGGTCATAAAGTTGCCGTTTATTTAATGCTCGCATAATAGTCGAGAACTCACGTTGCTTTTAGTTTTATCCAAACTTTATTTCCTTTTGAAGTTGACGTCGCAAGAAAAAACGAAGAATACAGTTTACTATCATTGCTTTATAATAATTCATTTATTATGGATTCTTTTATTTGGTGGTGAAAGCTTTAAATAAAACTGAAACAACTTAATCATTTCTTGCCGTTTTTTGTTTTGTTTTGAATCGACATATTCATTTAAGAATTTCTTCACAGATTGTAAGGCAGTTAATATTTGATTATTTTTAAAGTAGCTGTATGGGTTTTATACAGTACGTCGAATACAAGTTCTCTGTATATTTATTTCACTTTGGGAAAAAGGACATCCAAAATAGATCATATCCTTTCAGAAATTAGTTAGTAACATCTTTAGCATTCTAAAACGTTGAAATGCTTGCAGGCATGCCCCAGGATTTGTACAATTTGTGGCAGCCCGACAATTATCCATTTAGTGATGGCATCTGCATCATGGAGAGCATTCTATCCGAGACGGCGGCCAACGCCACGGTGCTGACCATCACTGCCTTCACCGTGGAGCGCTACATAGCCATATGCCATCCCTTCAGGTAAGCTTGAGTCCAAGTTTATATTCAGAAGTCGCTAATATTTAAAGCTAATAGGCAACACACCATGTCCAAGCTATCGCGTGCCATCAAGTTCATATTTGCCATCTGGATTGCTGCACTGTTGCTGGCCCTGCCACAGGCCATGCAGTTCTCGGTGGTGTCCCTGGAAACGAAGGCTGGCGCTTATTATGGCTCGTCATGTACGGTAAATTTCTGGAATCGGCGCATTTGTTGGCAGAACTGACGCATAACATGTTTTTTTCCTGGCAGATGCAAAATAATTTCTATGCCCATGTGTTTGCCGTGTCCGGATTCCTGTTCTTTGGTGGTCCCATGACTGCCATCTGCGTGCTATACGTGCTCATTGGGGTCAAGCTGAAGCGTAGCCGATTGCTGCAGTCCCTCCAGCGGCGTCCCTACGATATACATCGCGGCATCAGCGCACAGACGCGCGTCATCAGAATGCTGGGTGAGTGGGTTGGGTGGAAATGGGAAGCCTGCCTTCTTAAAGTGCACTCTTCCGGCATTACACACACTTTTTCGCTTCCTTGCCAAGAAGTGCTAAGCTATTTAACAATTTATTTGCATTTATTTACACATCTTTCAAATAAAAATGTAATATCGTAATAATTAAACTTTTTGACGTTGAAGCTTTGACGTCAGTGAATAATGCTGGAGGGGCTCTTTATATTGACCTAGCAGGGACAGGTTTTTGAATAAGAAATATATACCGAAATATTCACTTTAAAATGTTCTGAAAAATGTGCGGCTTTGTGAACTTGAAAGCCAACATTAATTGTGTGAACTAAAGATTAAGTGTTTGATTGTTTTGAGGATATTTAGAGGAAGCTCATAAGAATATATTCAAAAAGAACTAAAACTATGGAACATTAGTATTAGTATTCGCCCAAATGAAAAGTAAGTTAAGTGTGAAGGCGCACGGTCGGGAAGATATTTAATTGGCTTGCTGTGGTAGATAACAACTCCAAAAAATGGATTAGAAATATTTCTTTTTGTTTTGTTAGAGCTTCCTTCGTGTGCTTCAATGCTCTGCACAAGGATTTACCTTTCTTTCTCTTTGCAGTGGCTGTTGCGGTGGCGTTTTTTATATGCTGGGCTCCATTCCATGCCCAGCGATTGATGGCTGTCTATGGCTCCTCCTCTGGCATCAAGTCGGAACTGTTCACCGACATCTTTAACATACTGAACTATACTTCCGGTGTGCTGTACTTTCTATCCACCTGTATTAATCCACTACTGTACAACATCATGAGTCACAAGTTTCGCGAAGCGTTTAAGGTAAGTAATTAAGAATGCAGTTGCTCTAAAAACGTAGAGTGTACGGCATGGTTAAAATATTGTGCGTCTAGTGAATCAAGAAATAATAGGTCTCCATTTCAATTGAGTGTATTGTGTTGCATTTCTCTTCCGCAGGTGACATTGTCGCGCCACTTCCGTCTCTCGAGCAAGTACCAGAGTCAGAGTCAGCCACACAACTATAGCGTATTGAGGCGGAATCAGCACGGTTCGCTGCGCCTGAACACAACGGTGAATAGTAGTCATAAGGATACACTGCAGTTTCTTTGTCGTCATCAACATCAACATCATCTTCATGATCATCTTTCTCTGCAGGACAGCATAAGGACAACGACAACCATGACAACGGTGACTATGAATGGCAACAGTGTGGGGCAACCGGGCAGTGCGCGTTGTTCTCAGCGATTGCATCGCATCTCGCTGGATGGGTCGCATGCCACGCTGTTGAGCACACAAAGCAAACAGGATTTATTTGCGGGGCGAGCGGGCGCTGAGCTGGCGCACTCGTTCAGCCATCCACACTCTCATGGGCCACCACATCGCTTGTTACAGACGCAAATATCGCAGCTATCTTCGGTGGGCGATGCACATTCCTTGCTGGAGGCTGAAATCGATGGAACGCAGCTGTCACAGCCGACAATGCCTTCCTTCAGTGGTCCAAGCGGAGGTATTTATCGGGGCAGGCGTTCGGAGCATGTCCAGAATTGGCCGCAGGAGGAATGCGAGCTGGGAGTGCGTCACATGTGTGCCATAGACGAGCTGAGCAGCAATCAGCCGGGAATATCGCGTTCGCGCCTGAAGTTGACGCGTGTCACCCGCCCCTCTCGTGCTGAACCACAGCATTGCAGTGGCATCGGTGGTGGTAGCGGTGGTGGCGTCGCCATCAGCGAGCCAAGTGGAAAAGTGCGCAAAGCCAAGGCCAAAACCCTCAAGACATCGAGCACTCTAAAGAGTCTGCGAACGAAATTCAATTGGCGCACCAGACGCAAGGCCAGCAGGCCTGCACAGTCCCCCACAAGTGCTGAGCCGAAGTCCCCGACGGTAGGAGCGGGACCTGACGAGCGAAGCGTCTTCTGAGCGCACTCTTAGTCATTCCAGTTAAGGAACATAACTGTGATAAGGGCTGCAGGAGCATTGTGGCAGCACCAAACCACTTGACGTTCACTTCTAAGCCAATTGTTATAGCCAATTATTTCGAGTGTTAAGCTCGTGTCCGAGGGCTGCAGTCAATTAGTTGCAGCCCCAATTTCTATATACATACATACATACAAATATTCGCAACAAAACATAATAATGTGCTACAAAAGTGTCCCAATAAAGTCGCACTATGTGTGTAATTTGAATTTACTTACGAGTCGGTGCCTTTTTGATTTGGTCAACAGCTCAGCGAACCTTCCTCTTGCAGTCCCTAATGATTACCATTTCGGGGCAAACGCCTGTGCACTTAAAAATGAATGAACGCACGCTACTCTGGTCTTTTTCATAATCCCTCACAATTAAGATGTCTATCGAGGGAGCATAATTCGCTTTTAGTCTAGACAACCAAAACTTTCGACTGGGGCTTAGCCGCGCACCAAGAGGCGCTAAGAGTGAGAAAAAGCGCCAGTTTTCCATTTTGTAAAAATGTAATGAAGTGTGTGGCTAGCGGTTGGGTGTGAGGCCTTGACAAAGTACCAAGTATGCCAGTCATGTGACGCGGCTTGCCCTTTAGCGCATTTAATTAAAAACAGTCTCCAAATTTTCTCCCGTACTCTGCTGTCGGAATATTAATTGGTTTTAATTCGTAAAGTGCAACATATTGTGGGAAAAAGTTATGCAAAACATGCAGAAATATGACCGCAAATTATGCAATTAGGGGCAAACATGCCAGCGAGATTTATGTCCACCAGCTGGCGTCCATAAAACATGTATTAAAAAGTTTAAATAGCTATAGTTGGTACTGCCAACCAAATGTGGCAAATGCGACTGCATTTTAAATAAGGATTAGATTCGCTGGATGGACCAAGAGATTAAGTAATAGATTTTTATAGTTGCCATCCAACCTTAAATAGACCGTGGATGATATTTTGGCTAACGTATTGAGACGAATATGCTTACTTAGGGCTGGTAAGAAGAATGTTTTCGAATGATAAAATAAATCCCCGTTATGTGCCACTCTCCTCGAACATGTGCTTATCAAACAGACTTGAAATAAACACAATAAAAGTTTTCAATTCGTGTTCCCGCCGGTGTACACTAATGTTGAGAAAGTAATTATTGAATTGCCGCAAATAATGATCAACGTTCTAAATTTTGATGCCCTTTTGATGGACTTTAAGTCTTTGATTGTAGCATGACAGTGATGCGTATGGAATTAGGACATCTGGTGCCACAAGGGATCGTCTTAATAGGTTTCTAAATCTAAAAGAATTAGCGGTGGGAAATGTCTTCTTTACAAAACTATCGGAGCTGAGAAAGTTTACAAAGCGACCCAACGAAGCGACTCAGAAGCTGAAGAGATAAGGAAGCGGGCAACTCTCGCTAAATGATCTCAGCCGGGTGCTTAAAAGCAGACCAATTAATTCTAGTGGGTTATTTGGTGGGAAATGTGTTCTTTGCAAAACTATCGGAGCTGAGAAAGCTTACAAAGCAACCCAACGAAGCGACTCAGAAGCTGAAGAGATAAGGAAGCGGGCAACTCTCGCTAAATGATCTCAGCCGGGTGCTTAAAAGCAGACCAATTAAACCTAGTGGGTTATTTGGTGGGAAATGTGTTCTTTGCAAAACTATCGGAGCTGAGAAAGCATACAAAGCGGCCCAACGATTTTTTCAGAAGCTGAAGAGATAAGGAAGCGGGAAACTTTCGGTAAATGATCTCAGCCGGGTGCTTAAAAGCAGACCAATTAAATTTAGTGGGTCTAGTGGCATCACAAAGGACCTCTTCAGGATTAGGTGCATAGACGAGCATCATCTCTCTAGCCAAGCTCTACTGAATTGAATAAGTCTTAAAAAAATTATTGCTGTCGCAAGCAACCAACTTTCGCATGTTATATTTCATTAATGTTTAGTGGTGCATATACAAGTACCATATATTTTTAGTTAAGAATTCTCAAATTCCCTTCTTAGCGCTACTCAGGCCCTCCTTTTGCTCCTCCTTCACAAATTCCGGGAGCGATGCGTCATAGAAATTTGGGGCTTGGTTAGACGCAAATGTAGATACTTGTACGAGTATATCCAACCATAATGGAGCCCAAATAAGAGCCTTGATAATTTTCACTTGTCTGCCATTTTTCGGCTACTGGCCCTTAATATTTATTATTAATATTCATCTGCATAGCAATACTGAAATTAATGGACAATAAAACGAAGTGATTTTGTTGTACACCACACATGCTTGGATATGCAGGCCCCACTATATTGATATGGCGGAGGCGCTGCAATTTATACAGCATAAAAATCCTAAGAAGCCCATCAAATTCTGTCGCTGAACTTGGTATATCATTTTTATGCCTTAGTGACTATTACTAAGACAAATAGAAGGCCTTAACACACAAACACATTGCGTACTTATTACCCTTGCTCGACATGAACCACACAATAAATTTTACTGCTGAGCCATGGCCATGACTTTCGTTTGATGAAATTTATTATCACTTTGTCATGCACGCACACATTTAGCTTGTCTCGATGGCAGACTGGATTGCCAATTCTAACATTCAATTTACTGTCGGCTAAGGGTGCAATTTTTATTTTTTAAATTTGTCTAATACGTCTTTGTTCCAACCACTTCAAAGTGGGCGCATGCGAGTACATACGAGCACATGCTAACAAGCCTCGTATCCATAAGGCATGAAAATGAAAATAAAAAGTCCCATTTGAAATTGTCTCTCGATGGCCATACGCATACGAATATTTGCCATAAACTCTCAATTTAACTCATCCATACCGAAAATCCATGAATCATGTTTGCAATATAAAGTGGCAGCTCGGCCATCGCAAAATGGCCGCCCCAGGCCCATGTTTGAAGCATTAAATCAAAAATATTGTTGCCTACTTTTCAGGCCTCGGGCCGGTGCGCTCTCTGTGGAAATTAATGCGTGGGCAGGTAAAAGACGATGTGCTAATTGAATTTGCTTTTGCGAAGCCATAAGCTTTAAAACGTAGCTGGCAGAACACTTTTGGGAAGCTCTTCGGCTCAAGCCTATTACGCAACGCGGCAACACAGAAACACTCAATTAATTAACACATATTGGTAATAAAGCTCCGCAGCCAGACGACCAGCAATTAGATCGACATGTCGTTACCGCGCACAGCCCTCACATACACAAATATTCACACATACTTGTAAGCGCGTGTGTGCACGCACTTACATGAATGCCTATGTATGTACTTGTAGGCTTGTACTTGACATGCTGAACATGTCTGGCAAGCAGAAGGAATGCTTGGCTCCAAAATGTGGCTCTGACACGTACGCTTTGCGGGCGGTAATGAACCCAAGGCTTAAGTGTGAAAGCTTAAGTGTTGTATTAAATCTTAGCTTCTCAGCATGTTCAGAATCGAAAATGTCGTATTGTTTTAGGCAGCTTGCACGTGCTAAGTAGTGGACAATCAAATATCAACTAGGCGCCAATTTATCTTACACAGCATATGCGGCAATCGTTCCAATTTAAAGAGCGCGTGTTTCGCAGAAATATTTTCCGCCAACGATTACTGCGATCCTTGCCAGTTTGAAAAGGCTACACAAGTATTTGGTATGAACAGCGTGTGCCTAAAATTGTTTCCAAGAAAATGTTTACAACTTTTAGTTGAATGCTCTTCGGGCTATCGGCCATCAGCTATCAGCCAGTTATCTGCGGCACTTCAAGCACACAAAAAGCATATTTCAGTCTCTAAAAAGTACAAGGAACTTTAAAAGACCACACGCGGCATGCCAAGCAGCCTACAAATGGTAAATGCGCTCGTTAAACAGCACTTGCTTCCCATAAATTTATGTCTGTTCCCTCTGTTTATTTTAAAAAGTTTTTTTGCAAATGTATGCAAGATTTTGTTCGTCGCCATTTGACAAGTCGAACCCGTTCATAGCTTAAGATTAGCACCGACAAGTGACAGATATAAAGGGAAGGCTAAATAACTGGCAGCGTGATAAGTGGATTATGCGCATTGTCAATGAGGCCAGAGAACTTTACTTCAAAGACAAAGCGAGTGACAGACATGAAGTGAAATTCCGAAATCTGACAGCCTGGCTGATTTACTCCTGCCATACTATCTTTGCCGCTGCCCCAACTAGCGCCGTAAGTCTCGCGATGTTCCGTTTGTTGAGCAGCTGCCAGACACAGCCGATATTTGATTGCAGTTTAAACGCCTGCCAAGATGGTGGAGGGTAACATTAAAATGTAATTGCGCTAAAAATGGCGCCAGGCGGGCAATCCTCGAGCCATTTACCGGGTGTACTGGTAATTGAAAAGAAAAAACCTTGAACAAGAAAAGAACAACTGCAACAACATTCATAGAAAATTCTTAAAACAGCAGTACCAGCCGCTCAAATTAATACTAGTCTGTTGGCACTCCGGTAAATATTCAGTGGAATTCAACATATTGAGCAGCTTAAATACGCTCAACGAAACACGACCTTGGCCATAAAGGACTTAAAGACTTAAAGAACACACAAGCGAGCAAGGCCAAGTCAATATTGTGTGTGCAAATGGATAAGCAAATAAAGCAGTTAAGGACATTTGCAGCCTAGCTTTAGACGTGGGAGGTATCCATTGATTAATATATGTGTGTGCTTTTCTTCAAAAGCAATTGTTTAGTTAGCCCTAATTTTTTAATTGAATACAACTTTCTCACTTCCTTACTTTTTTACTTACTTCTTACTTATAGTTCAAATGCTATGCCAGCACGCCTAAAACCAAAGCTTAGGCTAGTTGGCCAGAGTTTAAATTTATGGCCATAACTTTGCAGCAATAAACTTAATAGAGTGATAAATGTGCACTACAAATTTAAAAGTCATTTCAAACAATTGTTAAAGCTACCAGAAAGTGGAAGGATTTGAGGAGTCGAACAAGTGGAGGATGTAATAAACAGTTTTACTGCCACCGATTTCAATTCGTAACTATTCGTCCTTTTAGTACTTACATAAATATTATAAAGCAACAAAGTCGGTAAATATTCTTGGGCATGAACTTCCTTTACAGCTCGAATTAATGTAAATTATAATTGGCTTTAAATAAGCTGTTAAAAAATACAGTAAAATTTATAAGTGTTCTGTTTAATAAAAACAGTTTTTCGTTGTTACTTATAATAAGTAGCTGCATTTGAAGAGCCTGTACACCAAATGTTGACTCTTTTATGATCATAAAATATGTCGATTATGTTACAAAAACCATGAAGATTTTGTTATACTCTGTTCTTAAATAATATGTTGTACTAATAGCTAAAATATTGCACATCAACACGTATGATTGTCACATTAATTCAAACATTTATGTAAAGCTTTAAAAAACATTTATATTCGAGATCGACCCAAGGGGCCATAAAAAGCCCACAAAGCAGATGTATTTATTTTTATTTATATTTATATTTATATTTATATAGCTAAAGTTTTAGTTTTCACTAAATTCGAAAAAATGTATAACCTGTATGATAAGATGAAATAAGATATGAAATTATTTTCTGTGCTCGGCTTAGAAGGGCCCACAATTTCAAAAGCAATAATGGTATACAAGAAAGAAACTTTTTACTTAGATTGCCTATGTAACCGTGCCATTAGTGGGCTATAAATCAGGCGTCAGAGTCTTAATGGACGTAAGTCGTAACACCGCAGATATCTAGACTTTTAAGAAACTTTATAACTAAAACAAAGGCACGAGTGCTTCTGCACTCTTTTAATGATAAATGTTGACCCAATGTTGTTCCAAATTGATAATTTGGGTTATATTTTAAATATTTAATTTGTTCAACTCATAAACAATTTAGATACTAGGTTACTGACACTTTTAAAAGCACATGGTGTACACGTTCAAATAAATAAATATAGATAAAGAGATCTTGAGATGAAGGAAATAGCCATTCAATCGTTCCATCCAAGATACCTCAACGATACTCGCGCGATTCAAAGTAAATAAATAGCTCAGCACGGGGCAGAGGTGTTCGTGATTCATATTCCGATTTCGGGTATGGCCGTGCGAGGTCGTGATAGCTCAAAACAGTTCATAGACTTGTCTTCTCCATACGGCTTTTGCTTGCCTTTGTAAGGTATACCGTTCTACATATTTATTTCCAAAGTCCACTTTAAACCAAATGAAGCATAATGTAGTGTACTGTTTCGAATTGGTTTTCAATTCACAAGTTTAAAATGCAAAAGAGCGCGCAAACAATGAGAAGACAGAACGGCGCACTCGGAACCTGTTATCGCAATAAAATTAAATCACATAAAATAAACAAAATAGATGAGCTATGTGTATGCTGATAATAAACAGATGTTAATGGCGGGAAGCCGCTTTAAATAATTAGCAAGCTGGCCAATAAGATGAAAATTGCGCAGAGATACTTATTTAAGTGTAGAGAAGATTTATTAAAAAGAAAGCGAAACCGGGCAAGTGTCGTTGTGAATAATTGAACGCTAATTATAATTAAAATGAACTACCTAAGTAGAAAATTGTGTGGTGTTGTGCTTTATTTTTAGACACATATGCAGAAATATGTGACTAATAAAGTTATAAATAAAAGTTGAATAACAACTTATTTTGAATGAAATTCGGATTTAGTGAGACGACCATTTCCCTTGTGGATGTTGATATTGTTCAAAATGTTCAAATGATGTGAGTATTTAATATTGAAGAGAGCATATGCAAATTTTACGGCCTGTCTCAAATAGGACCGCAAATTTATGGCTGGCTGTTAAAAAATGCACTGCACAAAGAGTTTTTTAAATAAAAATGCCAGGCGAACAATCCTAATTAATTGTAAACAAGCCATGAAAACCATCAACTCAGCGCAAGCACTTGCAGCTCATTTATATGAGAGGCCGGCGGTTGCGGAAATCTATGGGTGAGAGCGGGGAGGTATTTGTTTTTCCGTCTTGCCGCGTATGCATTGTTTGTGTGGCTGCGTGCGGCGCATTCAAGAGTGACGGCGTCGTTGACGCTTGCCATTTGTTCATCATACAATAATATTTTGATTGAGTTTTCCCAGCAGCAGCAGCAGCAGCACCAGAAGCAGCATCAGTGGCAGTGGCAGTGGCAGTCGGCGGCAACAACAAAACGCCATTTCACATATGTTGACACGAGGAAAACAAGTTGTTAAGAGGAAAAGAGAGCAATGCGCTACAATAAAACCAGCATGCTGAATAAGCTGGAATCATCATAAACAAAAGCTTCAAATCTGTTTTGGTGACGACTGAGTCGCGGCTTAAGTTAAGAATTTGGCCAATTTCGAGGCAAAATCTTGTTTGCTTCTGGTATATGCCCTTATCCGAATGATTGTTCAGTTTTGCAATTGAAACGTTCAGCTATAAACTTTAATTTGAATTTGCATGACTATTTTAATGTAATTCATCCTTTCCTTTCATAAAATAATATATAGCTTAAGCCTATGACTGAGTCTGGGCTCAAGCTATAACCCCTTAAGATTCGTAGAATGTTGTTGGCCAGAACTTGGAATGGCCTTATCAGAGACAGTAATACTCCTATGTATGAACATGGCTTTGGATGAGTTTATATCAAGTTGGCAAATTAATATACACTAAAAAATGAATAATTAATATAACTACTAGAATGTCTATTTCATAAAATAATAGAATAGTCGTAACAAAATAATTTAATTAATTCAATTATTTTGTGGAGTCAATATTATAGTAATTTTGGCTTAAAGTTTGTGCCTTTGAAATGCTGTTTACCTCATCGTTAATGTAAATGAAATCTCTAAGGCTTAGAGTTTATAATGTACTTCAATTTGAGAAACCTTTAAAGCGAACTGATAGCCTAAGTTATCTTTAATTTGCTTTAAAAATCTCTTCTCCTCTGTTTATAACAAAAATTAGTCAACTGAAAACATCACATTTGTTCTTGGCTGTTTATTTATTTGAGTTGAACAAACGGAATACAGCATTAATAAATGAAGCAAAACTAACGCTTTTGCCATTGTTTTTTTTATTTTGAATGTTTTCTCGAAAGTGACTTTAAGCCAAGGAGAGCTTCCCTTAGGGGCAGTGACTTGTCGACTCCCATTTGTAGGAAGATCTTCCAATAAGTTAACAGCTAAGCGAAAAGTCTCCATTTGTCAGCATTGCTCAGCATTAAGGGAGATTTGAAAGGCCTTGAATCAGCTTTTCAGTAACTTTTTTTTCCTGTTCTTAGCCATTGTGGCAGCGCATTTCAGCTTCGAGTTGCTTTGTCCATTTTGTTGCGCGTTGCGCATTGCGAATTGTTGGGGCGGCTGGCGCCTGTTTGTTTTCATCGTTTGCATATTTTTATATGTATTTATAATTGAAAGCATGTTTTCCCACGTTTTGAAAAATGTCACGCAGCCGGGAGAGCGACAGGCAGACATGGAAAAGCTCTGCCCTCGCCAGAGTCAAGTACCTCATTCGTCAATATAATTGTGATTCATTGTGTGTTTCGTCGCGTCGCGTCGCGTCTCGCCGCCGTCTCCATCTCCGTCTGTGACTCGCAGCGACATATAAACCGATTATATATTGTAAATAAATTAATTTGCTTATAAATATGCGTGCATGGAAATTGCAAAGCGTAATTTTCAATTAAGATTTATGCGACTATCGGAAGAGTTTTTTATGACCAAGCGTCAGAAGCTGTTGAAACAAGAAGGATGAGGCAGCGACGATTTGCCAGTTCATTAAAAATAAAGCTTTGTCGAAATCTTAATGAGATTTATGTGGTTGCCGCTCATGAATGGCAATAACAGATAACAAAATCAGAGAAAGTATGGAGGAGGGTGGAGGCGGTGCACAGCAGCAGCTGTCAGTTGATTTCGATGGGGCGTAACCAAAGCTGTCAAAAGTATATTATCGCCTGCATATGGATGCAGGATGAGCGTTATTTATGACCGCGACACTTGTAGCCTTCAAATCAAAGCCATTGCTATATTATTTATAATGCGGACATAGTACGAGCGAAATAAATTCACAATGCGCACACCATTTCTAATCAAATTACAGAAATACTTACAACGTGCCGTAGTGCAGCAAACAAAAACATTGCAGACAGGCGGACTACACTACAATGAACTTCTTAACTATTGCTTCGCGAATATTTATTTTCAAATCGAGGCATCGAATATAATAATTCGAATAATCGAATCAGACTATTTTTGACTAGCTGGAAATAATTTTGTAGGCTCAAATGAAGACTTTACCGAAAATTGGATATCTTGGAAGTATCTCAACAGGAGATGATGCAGACAATGCTTAAATGTAGTCAGTATTTTTGTATGGCTCTGTAATTAGCTTTGAGGTGCAGAGAACCATGAGAATTTAATGTTTAAATTGAATCTTGATCAACAACTTAATACAATAAGTCACACTCTCCGGCAATGATATCTCGAGTGGAACCCTTTAGGGCAAAATAAATTAGGGACAGCCTAAAACAACAAGGCGGAGAATCGTCTAAGCCCAGCTTTCGAAAAGAGTAACTGAAAATGCTTGTAATATGTTAAGTTTATCGAAATGTTTATAAACATATGCATAACTTTATAAAGCTAGTCCTTATTAAGACTTATTCCATTGCTTCAAAATAAGTTCGCTGTGTGCTTCAATTTGTTTTTGGGACGTTTTATCGTATTGGCAACGCGATTTACCGAGCGAAAATAAATTAAAATAAATGTCAGCAGTGCTGCAGATTTGACCGCCTGGCTAGTCAGCCAATTGCGATAGAAACTTTGCCAATAAACAGGGCTTAGTGTGGAATGGTGCCCGAGGCAGCTCGTTCCTTCGCAATCTAATGGTGAATTGCTAGCATTTAAGATAAATGCCAACTGCACATGGCTGGCCTGGCAAGTGAGTATTGGAGCGGCAATTGACACGAATAGTGGCCGTATTTTACATCCTTCAACACAATACGCTACACGCTCGAATTAAGTATACGCAATGTGCGCGCACGCACAAAAATAAATTGCGACGAAAGCGAATTGCATTTAAATGCGCTCGCATGGAAAGCAAAATTAGCAGCTATAGAGCAGAAAGAAGCTTTTCGTAGAACAGCATATCATTTGCAGTGTCAAGGGTGAAGGGTAAAAGGGGTATGGCCAACCCTTAACATTTGTGCTGCCATTTTCGTATATTTATGGCCATGTTCAAAAAATGCAAAACAAGCAGACATAAATCACGTGTCATATTCCGGTCACAGACAAACGCTTAAAAACGTTTACAAAAACGATTTAAAACAACTGAAGCGATAGTCGAGCCAGAAGAGAATAGAAGACACACACACACACACTTTATTTGTTTTGGTATTTAAAACAACTTTTTAAATGCATTTTAAAGCTGCTATTGTTTTGCTTTTGGATTCTTGACTGCGAGTTCAGTAACACGCATACGCCATGTGTGCCAAGGCAACACGCGTGTATGGCCTTTAATTACAGACACAGACACGCCATTAAACACTTTTTATTGCAGTTCTTGGCAACATTTTTACTACTCGCATTTTATTCCATTTTATGCATTTTAACACAAAACACACGCAAGCAGCAACAGCCAAAAACAACAACAAGTGCAAGCCTATTCAGCTTTGTCTGCCGTGCTAGTCAAGTCAGCCTGAGGAAATAATCTGCATATAAATAGTGTATACTAAATGTGCGTGTAAATAGTAGAAGCGATGCCACTGCACGCCCTCTGAGTTTTATGCACAACTGCATTTTAATTTTATTTTTGTGCAACTATCTGCACGTTGAACCGTGAAAATGAAATTGTTTGGAAAACGAATCCTTCGAAAGTTGCACGGAAAGTATGTTTGAATTCATTACATGTTGATGCAAAGATTTTTAAAGACTATTTGCTGTGTTACAGGACATTCAATATTTAGCCAAGTATTGTAAATGCTTCAAGCTACAAGTATTTTCCCCATCTACCCGAAGGCTGAACGCTTGTACTCGACAGTCTAAAAGCCACATGAATTTAAAATGAAGGTAAAAGTAGGCGTACCCGACCCCATATTGATGAACAAGTGAAAACAATTCGTTAAAATCTACTATTGTTGCAAAAATTGCAAATAAAATTCTACAGAACACATTAAATTTCAACAATTCTACAGTGAAATTCTTTAATATTGTATTAGTTTTAAAAATGCATAAAATAATCCCAAAATTGTATATTTGCGAATACCATAGCGAATAGTTGATAAAAGTTTTTTTTTTTCAAACACAACACTAGATTAATAGATTAAAATAGAGTAATAGAGAAAAAAATGAGAGCTAGGAGATGTATACTTTTCGATTTCTGTAAAAAGAGGCCATTGTCTTAATCGTGGTAGCAGCCTTATTTGCATAAAAAATTCATCTTTAAGCAACTTTAGCAAACTCTTTTCGGTGCTAATGACATATGGGGCTCATCATTATATGCACCCTATTTCAACCCTTATTCGGGTTGGTAAATGTAGCGCAACAGGTGTCTATAATAACTTGCCATACAAAGCCATCCCGCTCAATTGGCAATTTAATTTTTTACGAGCCCCTAATGCGCCTTTAATTACTCCAACCGACCAGGTCTCCACCCATAACTCGATTGAATTTGTGCCTCCGAGCTGTGTTTGTCCAAATGGAGATTAATGACAGGGCCGGGCAGCCTTGGATGGTTGGGCTTGAATGCCTGTGGCGCCGTTATTAACATAAGAATAAATATTACATGACTGCCCAAAGTGTTTCCGCAACAAATTTGTCAACGGGGAATTTAACGCTCCGGAAGCGTTTCGCAATTTATCTGCACAGCCCACGCATTTAAGAGGCTCGTCGACATGCTGTTGCTGTTACTGTTATTGTTGTTGTTGTTGTTACTGTTGCCATGCCAAAATATTCACTCAGTACTTGGACATTTTGTGTGCCAGTCACCCCAAGAGCTTAGCACTCAAAAGGCACAACCAGACGGCAATTGATTCCGGGAGTTTATAAAGCTCGCATTAATTGGGAGCCCCACTTTAGAACTATTTTAATTAGTGTTTAACTAATCTATGGCTGTGATGATGCACAGCTATTCTGTGAATTAATGCATGTATTTGCACACATTACACGCCTCAACAAGTTTCGCATATCCAAGTGTGTGTACACCGAAAGAAATAGCTCGATAATAAATCATCTCAGAGAATCTGAAATATATTAAATTTATATATGTACTCGTACTCGTGTATATTGTGTTTAGTTATTTATGATTTAATATGCGTTTGGTAGAATAATACATATCTCTTACAATTGGCTATAACTATCTTTCACATAATAGTTGCTCTACTCTTTTATATTTCTGCTCTGAGTCGGTGAATATGGCTATCCTATAGAATTCCTGTAAAGGAAAGAGACTCTTTCTTGTAATCAAAATTAATTATATTCGCATTAAAGAAAATAAATAAATCTGCAGTCCAGTTAGTTTGTTTGGTGTTGACCCTAAACTCGATCGATTACATAAAATGCCTCGCATTACTAACTTTTATGTTTGTACGGGATTCATATTTGAATTCCTGCTCCGGAGAGCTCAGTTGCGCTTAAGTGCATTTTCTTTCAGTGTAGAAATATAGTTGCGCCCAATCAAATGTCACACATTTCTACATAATCGTACACATTCATTCCCTTCGGCCTATTGGCCTTGGTCAGCATTTTGAGATTTTATGATATTTCAGCAACGATGTCGTCGTGTGAACTGTGTGTTGTCACACACACACCCACACAACCACACACTATCACATAAATACACATATAAAGATAGCAGTCTTAAGAGAGCCAGCAGTCTGGGGAACGTGGCGTATGAGTGATACGCACACGCAGGCAACCCAAATGGGAGCTACTTTCGTTTTATGAGAATTTCGATGTTTGTTTTTACAGCATGTGCAATTATTTTTTATTGACAGTTTGTTCGTATGAATGGCGTCAATGGAAATTTGAACTTTTACTTCTCATTTGTCCCATTTTATCTGCATGCACGTGCCGAAAACTTAAGCGGGAATTGATGCGATTAATAAATATTGATAGGCGGCGATGGCCGAAAACTTTGGCAATTGACTTCAAACAATAAAATAAATAGACTTTTGATTGAATATGCCGTTAGTGGTGGTCGCATAGCTTAACCATATCGAACTTGGCTTATACATACAAACACTGGCGCGTAGACAATGAGCCATGAGTACGTTTCGCCCAAGGACACTGAGGATGCCGTGTCTAGTTTGATGGGCAAAAGCAAGTGGAAAACTTTATGGCTCACTGGGGCATAGAAAAACAGCGAATATGAGATGGCAGAGGACAAACACTGGAAATGGCAATTGAACAAACAGTTGGAACACTTGCATCCAATTTAAACGCCTGCAGCTGTTACAGTTACAGTAGTTACAGTTATAGAAGTTGGCCGGCTCAATGATTTTGTCTGCACGGCTGGCCTCATGTTCATTATCTTTGTCTGAATGTGATGCGCCTTCGATACTCTAAATACTTGGCATTGCTGTCTAGCAGCGAGCCAACAGCCCAAAAGTGTATCTGGAGCTGACTGACATTGCGTGTACTTTAAGACTTTGACTGACACCGAATGAAATTAAATTTGTGCTGAACTAAAGTTTATGTTTTCAAAGAATGTTGCAAAGATAATTGAAAAATCCAAACGTGTAAGCTGACTCAAGTAACAAAGCATTAAATTAGAAAATGAAGGTCAACCATTGTCCTCCTCTCTACTGTTATACTGCTTGCTAAGGCAGACAATAATATTCCTTACATGAGTAACTTTTTACATTAATTTCCAATTCGTCAAGTTGGCCGTCTCCGAAGGGAAAACAGAAACAAACAAACAAAGTACCTAAAGTTAGAGTCAGCTGAAGAAATCACAATAATTCGAATAAGTCTTATTGAGATAAATGTTTGGCAACAACCGAAAGTTTCACGTTTTATGATCAAATTAATCAAGTAGTTAATAACAGCCATATTCAGCTATTTATAATCATAACTTCACCTTGATTTTTAAAGCTACTACGTTCCTAGCTTCCAGTCAGTCAATTGTCGCTTTACGTTTTACAGGAGTATTATATTATTTAATACTTGATTTTTATCAACAATGGATAAAAATCAATAAAACAAAAAGATATTTGTTGTTTTTTGGCTTTTCTATTGACACGCACCACAATTTATTAGCCAAGTTGAAATGAAATGTGTACTGAAGAGAGAATAAATTGCACTCATGCCGAAGACAGATAACCACAGAAGCTAATACTTATGTATGTTGTGTGACTGCAAAATATAGGCACTTGTGGCAGGCAGATAATCCAACGAACTGAAAACCAAATTATGCAATGGCCGATCTTTGAAGATATGTACTAAGCTTTGGCCTTGGCTAGGCGCCATTTGAATGATTGGCCATTAAATTCAGCGCCCAAGCCATTTAATTTACGTACGCATCGACATCATAATCAGTCGGTAAACTCCAGTGAAGTCGTAAAACAATTTCCATAATGGCTGATGTCGCCAAACCGTGGTTTTGGCTTTGGCTCTGGCTCTGGCCTCCGACCTTAGTCTAGTGTAAACAAAAAGTTGCTGAAATGTATGCTGTCTGGATGGCGCTTTCAAAACATGAACAGATGGAGCAACATAAAATTTGTCGTGGCCCATAAAAGTGCAGAATGGCAAAATTAAACAAACGCCCGCCTTGGCCGTTTCCGTTTCCGCAATTTTATTAAAATGTCCGCCCATAAGTATGCAATACAGTGTGTTGTTTATTTTGCGACAAAAACAAAATCTAACAACAATACAACGCTATATATTATATTTTCAAACAACAACAATACAACGCTATATATTATATTTTTGTCTTTATTGCAGTGCTATGTTTTTCTTGGAAATATTTGTGTGGAATAATTGAAGGGAATACGTCTTTCAGATTAACGGAATATTATTAGCTTTGGCTTGGAATGTTTCTATTTTTAAAAGCATTTCGGCATTATAAACGGCAACTAATCCGATACGTCTCAGCTATGAGTATGAGAGGGCTGCTTTGAACAGTTTGAGGTCCAAAACATATAGAAAGTTATCGAAGTTTTTTGCGAATACTACATACATCATAGCTTTTGCAACTTTATTTATAAAGAAAACATCCACACCAATTTCTGTAAAAAATATATATTCTTGTTTACTTACTACAAATGTGCATACTATAGATAGTAAAATCATTGTACTCATACATTCAATCATTCTTCAATGTTCAGCCCATGCCAAAGTAAAGAAAGCTGAAATTTGAACACAACTGTTGCGCAAATTTAAGCTCAAAGGGGTGTAAAACGGCTATCATTAGTCGTTACTCTTAAAATGTTTGTTGTTCATCTTCTTGACTTTAATACGCTTAGTAAGGAATAATCACAAAAGCTGAAAATGATTATTCCAAAGAAGTAGTTTGAGCACTCATTATACGTACATATATATATATATCTATTTTTTTTTATTCAAAATAATCAAAATTGTATAATGCATATTCACAAAACTTCATTCACATTTAAAATGTATTTTCACTACACACAGTCGATATACTAGAACTATTTGTAAACAATTTCTCATTTTTACAATTAATGATAATTTACAGTTTCAAATTCAACAAGTGCCATCACAACCTTCATCCTTTTATTGGATGGTATTTGTCTTGGACGATTCGGCCACATAGGCGGCCAACCATTCGCCCACCTGCGCCTGGTTCAACTCCAACCACTTGATGTTCGCTTTCACAGTTTCCAGTGCTTGTGCACGGGCGGCTGTGCCTGCGCCTGCTTCGGGATATTTGGCAAAGAATTGTTCCATCTCCTCGAGTTTGGTTTGTGTGGCGAAGCGTGAGGTAATTGTAGGTATAAGGCGACCCAAGGTACGCTCATTAATGCCGAAACGTTCAACCAGCTGGGGCCAGTTTTCGCGAACATAGTCCCAGACCAAGCTTTGGCCCACCGGGTTCGCGGAAATGTATCCCAAGCAGGTAAAGTAATCCTGGCTACGGATTTTACTGTCGTCCCAAGCATAGTTGATGTAGCGCTGTAACAACCAAGGAATCCTTACAGCGGAAAGTGCGTCCATCAGTTTGACCTTCTCTTGCACGTCGGTCTCTAGCAGATATAGCTCCCACACTTTGTCCCAGGCAGCCTCTGTGTTTACCTGCTGCAAGCCGTAGTAGTAGATCACATCACGTATGTCTGGGCTGGGACGCGTGTTGGGTTCAGCTAGCCAGGCATTAAATAGCGTGGTCGCCTGCTGCAGCGAGCTTTCGTGTCCAACGCTGCATGCAGAGCTCAGCACCTTGATTCGCAAACGGCTGTAGGCAGAATATTTATTTAATATCACATTTTGATGGACGTTCCAATGTAATCACTACTTACTTATGCAAATGATCTTCGCCTACAGTGAATGTGACTTCTTCCACAATGGGTGTAAGTAGGTTGCGAGCATAGGTGACAAAGTCTTTGTAGATGGATGTGTAGTAAACTCGATTGCGCAACGTTGCCAAAGCAGCAGTGCCTACACTCCATGGCACGTAATCCCTTTCGGCCTCTAAGTATGTGCTAAGGTCAAGGGCATATTTGTATTCCAATTGCCCGGCATCAGCCAAAGCGTTAGCGTCATTCAATAAATGGGCACGATCCGCATTGCTGAATTGAGCACGTGACTCCTTTAGCGCAGCGGTCAGTGCCGTCCATTGCTCGCTGGCATAATTAACGCGGTAGTAACCCACTTGGTCTTTGTTCAACTTAATCCAGCTTACATCACTGCTCAGAGTGATGGTAATTTCATTATCATTATGGCTGAAAAGGGACCTTTGCACTTCCGCAGATGCGCTAGTTGTGTAGGTGACTGGAATGGACCACCGATAACTGAAAATAGAGTACAATATGATTCAGGCCTATCCATAAAGCCGGGCAGTGGCAAAAAATCATACTTAAAGGAGGACTGCTCTGGTTCGATGTCGTAATCGTCCTTGTTGGCAAGGAATCGTTTCTGGGTGAGCCTGTAGCTATTGCCATTCTTTTCCACTTCTATAACGGGCAGACCCATTTGTTCAGTCCATGTTTGCATGATCAGCCTATCAATTAAAAAATTTTAATGGGATGTTTTAGATATATAATGCGCCCTACTCACTTGACATCGAAATCGAGTTCTTCCTCCTCGATGGCAGTCAGATAATCATCAGTAGTGGCTGATCCAAAGTAATGATTCGTTAAATAACGTGTTGTGCCGGATTTGAATTTGTCCTCGCCCACAAGGTTTTCCAGCATGCGTACCAGTGAAGCACCTTTCGAATAGGTGATGGTATCAAAGTACTCAGTAATTTCAGCCGGGCTCTCAATAGATTTGACAATGGGATGCGAAGCAAGGGTGGCGTCAATTTTAAGCACGGGATGCAACTCGTCAGTGACAAATTGGCTATCCTAGAAACGAAAAATGTGAAAAAATAACATTTGAAGAACTACTATGTATGTATTTAAAGCTACGACTCTATTTACCATATCCCAATCCTCATGTACAGCCTTCACGCCCTTGTACTCAATGTAAGAGGCGAAGCCTTCATTGAGCCAAAGATCATTCCACCACTTCATGGTGACCAGGTTTCCAAACCACTGATGTGCCAGTTCGTGCGCAATCACTGTGGCTACACGTTGTTTGTTAACGCTGGAGCTACTGGTCGCATCGTACAGCAATGCTGTTTCGCGGAAGGTCACCAGACCCCAGTTCTCCATGGCACCGGACACAAAATCGGGAATGGCGGCCAGGTCCAGTTTTGGCAACGGATATGAGACACTGAAGTAGTTGATGTAGTGTGCAGTTACTTTAGTACCAACGTCTAAAGCATATTCCGTCTTTTCGATCTGGGCAGGCTGGGCATAAACATTCATCACGATGCTTGTATTTTCCACGGTCCCTTCTTTCTTGGCAAAGTCCGACACAATGAAGGCTGCCAGGTATGTGCTCATAGGTGGTGTTTCCTGGAAAGTGACTTCAGTCACATCCCCATCAACAACTTCCGACTAAAATTGGAATAGTAAAATATAATAGTGAACATATACCGCCAAACCATAAGTTTGCTTACTTGAACTGGCATGTTGGATAGGACATGGTACTCATTTCCGGTGGGCCTGGCAATGGTCAACGTGAATGCTGCCTTCAGATGCGGTTCGTCGAAACAAGGGAACGCTAAACGCGCAAAGGTAGGCTCGAATTTCGTAGTAGCAATCCATCTAAAATGCAGGAATCATACATATTTAAATAGTAAAATGAAATTTGAATGCGGCTTAGGACAAAGTTAGTTGAAGGCATGCAGGCATGGGTTAGGGTTTGCAACAAATAGGCGGAGTTATAAGGGAGCAATCGCTACCTGGTGCTATTTGAGAGCTTGTCCAAATAGGAACTTTGATAGAGTCCAGTGATGCGATCCGCCAGCGAGCCATTGAAGTTCAAATGTAATGTATAATTGCCCACCTCCAGTGGCTGTTCAAACTCTGTAACCCAGTATTCATACTCGGGATAGGCGAAGGAAAGTGCTGGCTTCATAGTTTGCAACGGGGCGCCTGAATCGTTCAAGCGCTCCACGTTTTCAGTGCTTACATTTAGTTGTTTAATGTGCACCGGAATAAATGATATGGGCTCCAGCACCTGTATGTTGATGCTGATGTTGCCCGTAAAGCTCTTCTGGCTGAGATCGGGACGCAAATGTAATGTGTATTTGCTCGGCTTGATTTCCTTTGGCAACCGGTAGCCAAGATTCTTCAATACTTTGCTGGCAGCTTTTATGGCAGGCGATACTGTGACCATGATGCGTGTTGCTGTTGCTGGCACTTGGGTGGTTTGTGCGTTGTTATCTAATTAATTGGTATCAGTAACAGTACCATAAAGCAGTTTTATTGATTTGAACAGAGGTGGCCGCAAGGGAAGCACAAATCTAAACGATTACTGGTTAAAATGAAGTGTTGCAACTTCAATAAGCAATTTTAATTAGTTGTTGTAACCGGTACAACAAGAATGCTACTAGTTAGAGGTACGTCAACTGTGAATATTGCATCGATGTATAAAAAAACACCGGCACAAACATCGCTCTCATATTTTGCAACACTGTTCTACTTATCGATAAGTAATCGTTTACTTGCACGTTCCAAGCGGCACTGCCGCAAAGCTGTTAATAAATTTGAATTTGAAACAAACCTGCAGAAGTGCTTAATATTGGCTTTGTGGATAATAACTGATCACGATCTATGTAAATGGTGCGTATACCCGCATTTATGGCCGCCTGTGTGCCGTTTGCCTGCTGTCGCTGATGCTCATCGGCAATATTTTTGCCTACATAGACGAGTGCGCCCAACAGAAAAGCGCAGAGCACTAGCAGGAATACGCAGAAGGCAACAAGAGTAAGTAGCGTATTGCTTGGTGCCTTTTTTGTCCGAACTGTGTCCTTGATGCGATGATTGTCGTCTGTAGAGAGGCTGCTGCGGGGGCGCACGTTTTTGGTCGCATACATGCCGTTGACTTTTTGCTTATATTTGGTTTAATTTTCAACTGCTGCTACGCTCCGCTTTGGCGTAAATATTTACAATGCTCTTTATTCTCAACTGTCTAGCTTTAAATACACAGACATACACTCAACAATATAGTAGGTATTTCCGAATTCGTTTTATGTTTTCTCTGCGATTTTATTACGACCGCCGGCGTAAATCAACGGGTATCTGTTGCTCGCTAACTGTATCGTAAATTAGGGTTTTCACTGCCGTTTTATCTTAATTTTAAGCTTTGAAGACTGAAACTGCCAACTATTGTGTCACCCGCATGTGTAACTCGAGAGCGGCATAAACAGACTAAATTACAAACGCCGCCACTGCCTCCCCCACGCTCTCCTGTACTTTAATTTACTTTAAACAAATAACAGTTTGTTTGGATGTGTCTGATCTGCACATTCCTCCCGTCCGTCGCATTCACTTTATTTTCATTTGATTGGTTTTTGTTTCAATCTCAATGAAGTGCATTTTCCTACAACGACTAGTTTCGAGCCCCTCTGTAACGATCAATTCAAACGTAATTCTGCTCTTCGCTCGGTCACGTAATGAAGTTGGCCACTTCGCTGCCTTGTATAGTATGTAATTGTATGTACTTTGAAACCATTTTTATTGCCATGGCATAAACCGCAAGTTATATTACAAATGTTCAGGCTTGTTGCAGTGATAGCGACCGCAGGCGGCAACGCAAAATCCCGCCGTTACTTTCTACCGGGGCGTCGTCGGAGTCGTGTATGCGATTGACTGATGACTAAGGTTGTTGGCTCTTTGCTGCCAATTTGTTGCAGCCTCGTAACTCAAACTGTTGCACAAATCTGCACAGTCTTTATGTTTTTATGTATACTTATGTATGTACGAATGTTGGTGGTGTGGGAAAAAATTGCTAGCTCGAAATTAGCAATTGAAATGATTTGAATAAAGCCACATAAATAAAGTTGAAGTCACCTAAAGGCGCGGCGACTTTATTTATGAACGATTCTGCCACAGTACGACAAGATTTTCGAAATGTATTCAGGAATCAAGAGAGCCAACGTTCTGTATTAATTAAGTTTGATTTTGATGCTGCGCGTGGGCAACATAATGATATGTACCTCCAGCTATGTAAATACAGATATACGAACATAGTACAAGCCTGTACACTGAGCGAGACAGCGACTTAAAATAACACCATGCAACAAAAATGACAATATCTGAGACGCACCTAACATAGAGCGGAACAAACAATGATTCCAGCGTTTAAATTCAAAATAATTTCAACTATTGGATTTTGAGGGAATTTAAGACAACATATTGTGCAACTCTCTTAATTTTATCTACAATTTGTTTTAGTAAATCTCATATAATTTCAATGAATTGCTTTGATTAGACGGCTTAATCATGATCGTTGGAAATTGGGCATCACGTAAGCTTTCTTTTCTTGAACTATTAATTCGGATAAAAAAAAACAACAACTGAGCTAATATTAAATTCCTGCAGGTAACTAAAAAGAAAACAAATAGATGCAACTGTCTATGCTCTTTCATGGGTTCTGCCACGCGTTCTTTTGCTTTCTGCTACAGCAAAATGAAATAGGTGGGTGTCGCGCCTCATGATTTGTTGCCCAGTGTAATAATGTATTCGCACATGCTCATTGCGTCTATTGTGGCTGACAATGATGATGACGACGAAATGATGCAATGCGATGCTCATGGCAGACGGCGCTGAGGCCGGCGTTTGCTCAATTAAAGCGCACATAAAAGCGTTCATGAAAGACAGCATGAAGTGTACCTTAAGAGCGTCAGCTGCATACTGTGAAGCGAAAAAGTAGCGCCTATGGCAGCATTTATGCACAAATACTCTCTACACATTTCCACGCCTCATTGTCTTGGCAATTCTGGTGCGGCAAAGCTGACGCTCAGATACTTGATTAAGAGTCAAAACATAGCGGTTGCTGCAATAAACTTAAGCAAATGCTAATTCGGGCGAAGCGTGTGAGTGCGAGTTGAATGCACTTCCAGCTGCTCAAACACTTAGAATTGTTCTGTTATTGTGCCATTTGTGCATATTTAATTTGTTATCGTTTCTGTTTAATTTAATAAAAAACACGTTCGCCGTTTTTAAGGTCATAACTTTCACAACAAATGACAAATAAATAAATTGAGTAAATAAACAAAAGTTTAAGCCAAAATGGAAATTGGTTGGTTTTTACGTGCAGGTGCGCGGAGCATACGCCCAAAGCGTAATCAAAGTGTTTTCTGCAAAGTTTTGTAAACTGTTTGGATGACGCATGCAGTGTTTAACGGTCGATATGGATGTACGTGCTCAAAATAAAAAAACAAAAACCGGCACTCACTTAATAAAACAAAAGACCACTGATTGCAACAATTTGCATGTTTGAGGTTAACGGTGGCAAACAGAAATGTCACTTATTATTGCTTTTCAGGACAATAAAAGAATTGCATAATTCATGAAAATTAATGTATGCATATTGATATTAAAAACTGCACACATCGAAATCTGCATATACATATGATATGCTCGTAGGAAAGCTGCATCAGTACGTTTTCAAATGCAATGGGAGAAAAACGGGCTACATTTTCAAAAAGGTCAACTTAGTTGAACTTTAAACTTAACGGGTCGGGGTTGGTCCTAAACCTTATTACGAATGTTGTTTATTTTTTGCAGACGTATAAAATATCTAACTATTTTTAATTCATACAATTGCCTTGAAAAATTTGCCTCTTGAAATTGAAATTTGTGAACTACTCAGTGCCGCTTCAAATAAGATGATTAAAACTTATATGTAGAAATAAAAAGATCTTAGATTCCTGGTAATGGGAACAATACCGATAATGAAAGGCCAGATAATCTATAAGATACAATTTATGGCTACTCGACAATCGTAAAAATTAATTAACCATACCTCAAGAAAAAAGAATCAGGTCAATAATTTTATTTCAATTAAATTAAAATTCTAATCAGTATAAATTTTAAAATGAAGATCAATATAAATTGCAAATAAATTTGATTAAATTGAATAAAAAAAACCTAAGCTTTTTTATTAATTTCATAAGAAATACATCGACAGGCTTGAAAAGTGTTTGACATTTGAAATAAAGAAGTTAGTATAACTTGGAAATTCATTCCGATTGATAACTTGGCAGAGGCTGATGAGGTGTAAAAAGATTCGCAAATACTAGTCATCCGCAATCCAAATGAGAAACACAAGAAGCAACTAAAGAACTTCAGATTTTGGCTAATTGCGACTTTGCTGGCAACCTTGATAAGCTGCTTTTTTTATTTCTTACGTTTGCAAACAATTGGCTAGCTGCTTACGAAGCAAAGTTGCTTCTTTCCCACAATAAATTAAAATAGAAATTTGGTGCTGTTTTTGTTCAGAAGCGTCAACGGAATGACAATAAATGAAGAAATAAGAAGAAAGAAATCAGAGCCGATGAAACTGAAAGAAATGTTGAAATGTGTTGAAGTGAGACGCGTGCGTTAAACTTTCGAGAATGATTTGAACAAGAAACAAAGCAGCAAAATACAAAACAATAAGCCTTAAATATTGTAGCGACAACAAGTGGCAGTGGCAACAGCAACAACAACAACAACAACAACAAAACTCGACCCATATATTCGTAAGTGAGTTTCTGAACTTGCTGCAAAAGAAGAAAGTAATTTCTCAGGCAAACACGGCCGATGGCTGGGCGCACGGACAGTTTGTAAACACAACATTGGTTGCTGGTGGGCACGACACACAAACATACATAAATACATTCATACACACATACACACACACACAAAAACGGACGGACAGACAAACAAACAGACAAATAGAAAGATAAGCACATGGCTTGGCTGTAAACGAGTCGGCGGTATTGGCTGATTTAAGGCCAAGAACTTGCGCGGCAAGTGAACTACGACTAAGTATGCACACAGCTACATACATATGTATATACACACACACACACTAACTAATAACTGCAAGCGTTCGTACGAGTAGAAGCTGGCCAGCAGCCTGTTTGATTGGGCTAGGTGTTGGCTTTGGATGGGTTGGTGGGGCGCTGCAGCGACGCATGCGCAGTTGCAACCTGTTTTGCGTGCGTGCTGTTAACTTTTGTTTCTTGTTTTCCTCTTCTTTCTGGACACTGCTGTTATTTATTGTGTTCGGAATTGAAAGTCAACATTGACATCAAAATCCAATGTGCCATCCAACTGCTCGCATTTAAACTCATCCCCCGTCTCTCTATGCTAATAATTCGAACATTCAGTTCTAGGCCACAATGTACGCCTCAATGCGCCCAATTAGAGCAAGCGGATAGCCAATAGTTCGAGACTATAACTGAGTCGTAACGGCAGTCTGCACAATGACAAATTTTATTTACGGCCGGAGCCGTTCAACGGTATTTATTTTTAAATTCTGCTATTCACAATTCGCACATTGATTGCTGGCATTTATTACTGCTTTGGCGTTTGGTGTTTAGTTTCTTGCTGTCACTCTCTGTGCGCCTCTACCTGATTTACAGTTGCGGCGAATGCGTAACAAAATGCAGCGCACAATCACTTTTCATTAGTGTAAGAGCTTCGGCTGAATTAACTGTTTCAAATGAATGAGATAAAAATGGCCAGTGGCACGGCTGATAATACGCCTTACTTAATTCAAATAAATGCCGCGCACGTTCCACATTCGCACATTGGACAAAGCAGAGAAGCGAGCGCGCCACAAAGTTTTGCAAATTTGCAACGAACCGAACGACCGACACCGGGACCGACCGACAAACGTGCAGCTCAGCTTCAAATTTATAACTGAACTGTCGGCGCAGAGGAAGTTGCGGTCAAAGCTGCAGCCCAAGCGGCTGTTTGAAGCTTTGCTGAGCTTTTTCAGAGACCGGCTTCGTTGCGACGCACTCTTCCAAGCTTCGCATGCATTAGGGGCACTCAAGAGTTACTTTTATGTATTATAAGAATTTTGAAATACTATAATAGATAAAACTATAGCAATATCTCGTTTAATACTTTCTGTTAATTCTTAAGTGCTCAGGTCTATAAAAAAGAAACAAAGACACCTTATATTCGAAGGAAGCATCCCCGATTAGGTATAGAAATAGTATACATTTGTTCTTGGTCAGCATGGAAACATTTGAACCTTAATATAGGCTATAAAATATAATGTTTTCATTCGCACTTCTTTGTAAGTGAAATTGATCATTACGTCTTGCCAGTACTGTATAATATGATGTGCAAAAATTCTTATTTGTGTGTTTTTATTAAAGTATTTTTGGCTAACTTTTACCCTGTCAGATTTTTAGTTACTAAGTTAATAATATACTTCATTCTCAATTTCTTTCTAAACAAAAAATGCCGGAAAGATAATAAATATTTCTTTGTTTTTAGCTTTCGCCTCAAAAGAGTAGTCTAGACATCTGTGTTAAGGAGAATATTTAAACAGCTTCCAGCAATATACTTAGCCTCAAAATATTAACCATAGCCGCACTCTTTTTTAAAGTATTGGACTCACCTATCATTGCCGTTCGCATCTTTGTAGCTGCTTCTGTAGAGGCCGGTCAAGCCATCCAAATTGCAATCGTAGCTAATGGATAGCGTGTATGCCTTCATACTGTGCAGAAGCTCTCTTAGCTCAATAATTAGCAATTCCCGGGTTTCATCCACATAATACTTGTCAATGGCAATACGCATGCGCGCCATCATGTTGAGTATACTAAGGCTATTGATGGTAAGGCCCTTGGTGTTTACCACAATCAGATTGCTTGAGACATTTTCCTCCAGTTGGAACTGGATGGATACGGTGCCCTCGCATTCTCCCGTCTCCAAATTTGGGTGTATGAACAGGCGATACTTGACTGGGAATATTTCGCTTGGAAGGCGCCAGGTAATCTACAGGAAGCATAAATATTGAACTCAATACACAGTGCTAATACTATTGTATAAATCTATACATATATTATCTCTTTATTGTACATTGAAGAGTCGATTGCAATATATTGGCATTATGCATTTATTGGTCACGGCTAATAAAAAACGATGACTATGAGAAACTACGATTCAATACAGATTATTAAAGTTCGTTGCCCAAATGCGCTTTAAATTGCCTTGAGATGTCAGAGAGAACATTGGCCTGTATATAGTCTTCCAATACATCCAATTTCTCTTTGGCTTCCGCTAGCTCCAGCCACAAGTTGTCCCGATGTACGACAACCACGACGAGCGCCGCAATGAGACATGTTGATAGTAGGCCAAAGAATATGGCAACGTTTTCTGCCGTGATTTTTTCTAACGGAAATTGAAATGTAAGTTTTGGCAAAGCCCTTGAATATTGCTCACCTTTCACAGTATCCTTAAAATTACCCATTCTTAATAGGTATCTTTGCGCTCGCACTCTAAACCTTAAACTGACGTCTGGCTATGACTAAACTAAAGTGGCTTAGCAAGAAAACCTCTTGCAATAAAAATAAACAACTACTGAAATGCGATAAGCGTGCGTTTGGAGAAACCCGTACCGTCCCGTCCATTTATGCAGACCCTGATAAACCCTTAATTAGTGGCAAAAGCCGCTTTTATGGTGTCCAGATATTATAGATTGCAGTCGATCACACAAACGGTGCAGTGGTAGTGAAAATTTTCAATGTTTTGAAACTCTACTAATTTGTTTATTTGTTCGAAACTTACCTGTTCCGGATCGGGCAAGCCAGTTGGCAGGGTGGGGTACACAGGATTCGAGGGAACAGTGGTACGCGTTGTGGTTGAAGTTGTGGTGGTGCCTCCACCGCCAGGTGTGGTGACTCCGCCGCCAGGTGTGGTGACTCCACCGCCAGGTGTGGTGACTCCACCGCCTGGAGTGGTGCCTCCACCGCCCGGAGTGGTGCCTCCACCGCCCGGAGTAGAGCCTCCACTGCCAGGGGTTGTAGTTGTAGGGGTACTGACAGTTGTGGTCGTTGTTGTAGTTGTTAAGGCTTCTAAGGCATCTAACTTGTCTAGTGCGTCTTGCAAATCATTCTCCAAGCTGGATTTTTCCACAGCCAAAACAATTGTGGCAATACAGAATGCTGTAGTAGCCAGGCCAAAAAATATGGCCACGGTCTTAACGGTAAGCCCTGTTTATAAAGCTTTAGATGTAAAACAAATTTCACGGCACTCTCCATGCAAAGCACTTACAGGCTACCATTTTGTAATTATGTCCTTGATCTCTCAAAGGACCGGTTCGCACACACACACAGACTTATACACACACAGGCTTATATACACACATGCAGTGAGGCCCTGGGCTACTTCTGCAGTGTTGGACGCAAAAATTTCGACTGATTGCGAATGGCGAATCTGACCCAACTATTTCAGCTTGATAAACAGATTGCTGGGCGATATCTAGAAAATATATATGGCCCATATACTTGTATACATGCAAACAATAAGCATTCACGCAGCATTTATAGGTATTTTACGATTATTAACTTGTATAAGTTAAGCATATATCGGCATTTACAACTGGGCAATGGGTACTGGTTTCCTGCTTGTCACCTCTTTAGCGGGCCTTGGAGTGAGCGCAAAATGTGTGACTACTATTTTATAATGGATATGGACTTTCTGGCCACACATAAAACAATCCAATTGGCTCAGTTATCGTATGTTTTAACAATTCTGCCGATACAATATAATGATAACTGGCTAAATGGGTTTATAAATATTTGGTGCGAGTCCACTGAGCATGATCTTTAGATTTTCCTACAGCGATAGTATTCAAAGGCAGCAGTAAAAACATTACACCAGAGCGACAGCCCAATAATTTATCCAAGTGCATGAACATAGCGCAGTAAAGATTTTAGATGGTATTTCGAACTCTTGATTTGGTAATAAACGAGTAGAACGTAAGAGTCATGCCAGCCCGACTCTTGAATACACTGTGCCCAGCCTTTCTCCCCCTACAGTCGTTAAGCTCAACTAAACTTTGTATGACACCTATATGATATAGTTTACCGATCAAATTTGAGATTAAGATAGAGTGCAGATTTAACAAAAAGATATTTCTAAACAACAGCTATCCCATTAAAAACATATTTTCCACCGATGGCTCCTATGGCAAACATATACAATAGTAAAGATACAAGTATATATGGTTTGTAATGAACTCTGTGAATGGATATGACAAGTCTACATACGAAGTTTAGCGCCTCTATCTCATATGGTCAAAAAGTTCTCGGTGTTCATACTGACGGACAGACGGACGGGTCTCTATCGATTGTTGCATACATTTAAACCTTATAGTCTATCCAGTTTTGGATACAGAGTAAGGCGCTAAAGTTAAAATTTTCCTAACCCCTTGGCCTCTCTCCACTTGATTCGTTCAACTAAAATAAATAAAGAGTACGCATTTCGTAAATTCTATCGTGTTCCATTTCCTGATTGAGTAATCAAAAAATCATTTGCTTATTTCATTTAATTTGTAAACTTTTCTTTAAAAAAGAATTGGGATTTAAAATTTTTAAGGAAAATTCCATGCAAGAAAATAGAAAAGAATTGTTGCTTCAAATCTCTTAGGTGTTATCGTTTTGGAAACCAAATATATGAACCATAAAAACTTTCTTTGAATGAATATTTCGTTATCCAGAACATGAGTATGAGTTATACTTCCTAAAATTCCCAATCATAATTCAATATCTGTTAAAAGTCATTTTATTTGTCGGATGTATATTGCCAGTAATAGTATTTAATAAAAACGATTCATTAATGGCCAGTTGTGTTTATTACCGCGTTCGATAGCCCCAACATTATGTAACTGCTTCAATGCGAGTACAGACTTGGACTCGATAGCGGTTTATGGATTTATGGTTTAGCTGCATATTTAAGCAATGGGATATTTCCATAGTTGAGTGCATGACGTTTCAGTTACAAAGGCGTCGAAGTGCCCTGCAGCCAGTTAGAGATATCATCGATGTTGTTCTTGAGCCACTGAATGTTTAATTTGACCGTTTCTAGTGCCTCCAGACGAGAGCTTTCGCCTGCACCAGCCTCAGGATATTTGTTGAAGAACTGCTGCAGTTCCTCCAGCTTGACATTGCTCGCAAAGTTTTTAGTAATGGTTGCTATTAGTCGGCCCAGATACCGATTGGTGAGACCGAAGCGTTCCAATAGCTCTGGCCAATGCTCGCGATAATAGTCCCAGACGATAGCCTCGCCAATAGGATTGCCTGCTATGTCACCCACGAGCGTGAAATAGTCCTGGGACCGCACAATACTCTCATCGGTGCCCAGCTCAAGTAAACGATAGAGGAGCTGTGGGTCCTGAACACCGGCCAGGCCATTCATCAGCTTCAACTTTTCGCTGGCATCCTGCTCCAACTGGAATAGGTTGAGCAGCCTCTCCCAGCTAGCCTCGTTACCCTGCTGCATTCCATAATAGTAAACGATGCTACGTAGATCGGGGGCGGGTATATTTTCGCTTGAGGTGGGATCCTCCAGCCAAGTGTTGAAGCGCTGCGCCGCCTGAGACAAACAGTCAGGCAGTCCAACAGCACAGGCAAGGCTCAGAACGGACACGCGCAGGCGACTGTTAGAGATGAAATGATTTTAAAAATCAATTATCAATTGGCGAGTTGGAAGCACAATTACTTACTTGCGTAGATGATTGTCCGCATCAATTGTCCAGCCCACATCCGCGTACACAGACTGCAACAGCACACGGGCATGGTTCAAATAATCCACATAGACTTGGCTGTACATTAGACTGGTTTGCAACTTTTTCAAAGCCTCTGCTGCCACATACCAGGGCACAAAATCGCGCTCCTGCGGCAAATATGCAATCAACTCGAGGGCTATGTTGTAGGATAATTGGGCGGCATCGGCCAGAGCGAAGGCATCGTTGAGCAAATTAGCACGATCGGCAGTGTCGAAGCTTGTGGGATTGTCGATCAACTTTTCAATAAGTTCTTTCCACAGACTCTCTTCGTAGTTCACTCTGTAATAGCCCACTTGATGTATGTTTACTTTAATCCACTGCGATGGAGAGGCTGTTTTTACAGTTAACGAAGTCAAAAAATATTCAAATAAAAAGCTATTTAGACCAGAATTCGTATCCGTCATAAAGGTGAGTGGAATACTCCATTTGTAGCCGAATTCGGAATCATCTGGAACCTCGGCGTAGCTGTTATTGTTAGACAGGAACCGCTTCTGTGTGATCTCGTATGTAGTGTCGTCATGGCGGTGGACTTCTACGACTGGGTAGCCCATTTGCTCAGTCCATGTGCGCATAAAGACCTTGACATCAAAAGAGCTCACTAGTGCAGCAACCTCGCTTATGAAGTCGTCCGTCTCGGCGTTTGAGAATTGATATTTATTCAAATAGTTGGTAACTGCCTCCTCAAAAATCTCGGCTCCAACCAAATTCTCAAGCATCCGAATCACCGAAGCGCCTTTGTCGTAGCTGATGGTGTCGAATATCGCGGTTATTTGACTTGGTGTCTCTACTGGTTGCACAATGGGATGTGAGGAGAGTTTGGCATCAAAGTTAAGTACCGGATGTGCCACGAGTATGCAGAATTGATTCAACTGTAAGGTTTTGAAACCGAGATGAGATTAAGGGCTGGGAAGCAGTGGGAACTGTGCACTCACCATGTCCCACTCGGGGTACACTGCATGTACGCCCTTGTATTGCATATAGCGAGCAAAGCCCTCGTTCAACCAGATATCATTCCACCACTTCATGGTCACAAGATTCCCAAACCACATGTGTGCAATTTCGTGTGCAAGAACGCTGGCTGTGGACTGTTTATTCGCGGTTGAACTGTAATTCTCGTCATAGAGCAGCGCCGTCTCCCGATATGTAACCAGACCCCAGTGCTCCATGGCATTTGAAGCAAAGTCTGGTATGGCAGCCATATCGAGCTTTGGCAAGGGATAGGCGACCTTGTAGTATTGGATGTAGTGCTCTGTCACGGCAACCCCAAAGTCAAGTGCGAACTGGACCTTATCCAGTTGATGGGGCGTTGCAAAAGCCCGCATGGTAAAATCATCACCTATTCCTTGTGCATCGACGTTCTTGCTCTTTGACTCAAAATCGGAGACGATGATGCAGGCCAGATAGGTGCTCATGGGCACGCTAGTTTCGAAAATGGTCTCAGTAACGTCGCCAAGGAGGAGGGTGTCCTGAAAGCCACTTCGATTGCATTAATAGATCACAAATTGTTCGTGGACTTACCGATACGTCCATATTCGAGAGTGCGTGGTATGAGTCAGTGGGATGAGAAACCGTAATTTGGTAAGTTGCTTTAAAAGCAGGCTCATCGAAGCAAGGAAAGGCCTGACGAGCATAGGTGGCCTCGAATTTGGTAGTTGCAATTGTTCTAAGAGGTAATTGAATTGTGTTGCAGAAACATTAATTGGGGTTACAAGAAGCATCCATAATGTATAATGTTAGAATATTAACAAAGCTTTCTCTTGTAATGGACATTCCAGTTTTTTTTAATTACTCATATAGTATACTTATAGTTACCCACTAACTACTATTTTCTGGGTTAAAGACTATGGCATTTACATTAGGAGTTTCCATTTATTAGTGTGGATCACCACCACATGGATGATATTGATGTGTGGTGTGTGCCTTGACTAGATGTGGAGGCTTAATTCCTGTTTTAAATGAGTGGTTATTGTTTTATTTATTAAACAGCTTTTGTTATCATAGTACTATGTTGGTTTATGCGATTATTTGATCATTATATTTTTTATAATTTTGCCTTCTTTACAAAACTAAGAGTAATGTGTTGCGTAGTATTCTTTTAGGCGCGTAAAACAAAACATATTCCCATACTTAATTCAATCCTAAGAAATGGGAAATGATGAATTAAACTAAATATTTAGTGCAAGTTAGATTGATTTGATTCCAAACTAGTCTTGCATTAAGAATCAGTAGATATTTTAACTTTGTTTATTTCCTAAAAACCTTCGTGTCTGATAGTCCAAGCGTGATTTAAGATTTATACGCGAACTCTATAAAGCTTAAGAACACCTGTTTCTTTGTCTTAAATTAGTGAGCTGATTTTCCAGAATTTGCTTATAAAGCTTTCACATTTTCGAAATTTGGAAACTTAAACAAACCACAAGTCTATTAGAAATTAAAGGAGCCTGCTTTTACGTGCCAGACATTATAATAATATTAAACGATCACTATCTAAAATAGCTTCAGCTGCAAGGAATGCAGAGTGGACTAATGGACTTACCTGGTCTCTCCAGCTGGTGTTTGGTAGATACTGCTGTATAGACCAGTTAGTTTATTGAGCATTTCTCCCTCAAACAAAATGCCCAAAGTTATTTTTTCCACCGGTAGCTCCTCCACCATATTAATGATGAGCAAATCACGCTCAACATCGAGTTCATAGTCGGCAACTGTCGGTGCCGGAGAACCGCTCGGAAACTGCACATAGACGCCGGTTATTACCAGATTGTTGGAGTGTAGCACTATTTGCTTAGTGCTCTCGAGAACATCCACAGTAATGTCCTCCTTCCCAGTAAACTTTCCACTTTCTAGATCGGGATTCCAATAGATCTTGTAGTGTGTGGGCTGTAGTGTAGTGGGTAGTCGGTATCCGATCTGGCACGTATTTGTAAATAAAATGTCAAGTGTTTTTTTATAAATCAATATTTTATGAAATAGTCACTGTAGGCGCTTTAGATAATTCTATAACAATTTATGGCTTAAGAGGGCTCTTAAGCGTAATGCATGTCTAAGTTAGTTGGTTAGTTATTCCATACTGCGCTAGTTCCTTCACTTTAACTGAAAAGTATCTGTATTTGGTGTTAAATCGAATGGTGTTTCTGTACTAATATGAACAAATAGTTGCTTTTGGTCATTGAAATGTTGGCTCAGTTGATACTGCTATTTAGTGAAAAGGGAGCTATGTATGAGAAAACCACCACCATATTCTCACACGATAACGATACTATAATGTGCTATATAGACTTCCTTTTCAACCAAGTGTTTCCCCACAAATTTATGGAAATAATTTCAGTTTCAATATATAATTGATATATTTTCTTTTTTCACTCACTTCTTCATAGTTGCTGATCGACTGCTTAGCATTTTGGCCAAGCTTTACCGTTCTTGCCGTATTCAGATAAACAAGAGCACATAATATCGCCAGCCTTAAGTAAAAGGCCTTTGTAAGCATAATGGCAACCTAATGTATAGATTCCTTTAAAAATACCGTCACTTGTGTGTTCTTGCCTTCGATGCCGGCCTAGAATGAAGAACTGTACAAGTTTGTTGATGGCTGCATGGCTCTTCAACTATACTCGAACTATAATACATTATTGGGCCAATAACCTAGGTATTGATTGCTGCATGCCAGAAATCAATAAACGCAAATATAACGCTTATTGTGTTGGTCCGCAATTGGTTTTCAAACTTTTAGCACGCCTGTACTCGTACGCGTTAATACATGGGACAATGACTTAGCAGTGAAACCCCAATCTACATGGTGTAGTAGAACACAAATCGGTTACGCCCACACGCTATACTATCAGCACAACTTGTAGGATATTTTTGTTTTTGCATTCTGCGAACAAGATCATGAGTGCCTCATTTATAAACACATAAAACTGTTTTTTCCCATATCGCAGTAATCTTTATGTATTATCGAGGCAAATAATGCTTTACAATGATAATTAAACGGGCACAATAAATTGTGGCAATCGCATGGGAACTTATATATTCTTGTATATATATATATATATATATATATCGTAACATCCGTGCCCACGGCCTATCGCTGTCGATTTTCCAGCCATGAAACAACGCTCTTCAAATTCGCCCTCAGCCACGCAATATTATTTTTCACCTGCTCCAAGGTACGCGCTCGTTCGGCTTTTCCGGCGCCCCCCACTGGATATTTCCTAAAGAAGCGCTCAATTTCTTGCAATTTGCTTCGAGTGCTAAAACGCGCCGTTATCGAGGAGATCAATTTCCCCAAGCCGGAGCTTCTCAGTCCAAAACGTTCCACCAGCTTAGTCCAGTTCTTGCGCACGTAATTCCAAACAAGTGGTTCACCCACGGGATTAGCTGCTATGCTCTTCAAACACGTAAAGTAGTCCTGACCGCGCACATTTTTCTCAATCCAGGCCGCATCGATGTAGCGTTGCAACACCTTGGGGTCCTGTATGGCAGCCAGTCCGACCATGAGCTTCGCCTTTTCACTGGCATCGGTCTCGTCGAGGTATAGTTGCCACACCTTTTCCCATATATCTTCATTGCCTACCGACACCATGCCGTTGTAATAGACGATTTCACGCAGGTCTGGATGTGGTCGCTCCTTGGTGTCCCCAAGCCAATTATAAAATTGTTCGGACACATCAGTAAGACAGAATTCTAGGCGCAGGGAACAGGCGGTGCGCAGAGCAGTCACACGTAATCGGCTGCAAGTATATGACATAATACAGAAATTTAGGCACACTTTTTTTTAGAACTAGCGCTCTAATATAAAGAAATAATTAAAAAAAAGTTTGGATTTCTGCAATTATTAGAGCTGGTCCCTCGAAACCTGGTGCCCATTGTTAACTTACTTGCGGAGATGGTTGTCCGTATCAACAGTCCAGCCCACGTCCATGTATACATTCTGTAGTAGATCCCGGGCATAGTTCGAAAAGGACTCTCTTTTTTTAAGATGGCGATGCAACTTTTTCAAAGCCTCTGTTGCCACATGCCACGGCACAAAATCGCGCTCCTGCGGCAAATATGCACTCAAGTCGAGCGCTATTTTATAGGGTAATTGGTCGGCATCGGCCAGAGCGAAGGCATCGTTGAGCAAATTAGCACGATCGGCAGTGTCGAAGCTTGTGGGATTGTAGATCAACTCTTCAATAAGTTTTTTCCACAGACTCTCTTCGTAGTTCACTCTGTAATAGCCCACTTGATGTGTGTTTAATTTGATCCACTGAGAGGGAGAAGATGTTGTTAAAGTTATCGGAGCACTATTGTATTCATAGAAATGGTATTGGGGAACAAATTCCGTGTCCGTCACATAGGTGAGTGGAATACTCCATTTGTAGCCGAATTCGGAATCATCTGGAACTTTGTCATAGCTATTTTTATTAGATAGGAAACGCTTCTGTGTGACCAAGTATCTAGTGTCGTCAAGGCGCTCGACTTCTACGACTGGGTAGCCCATTTGCTCAGTCCATGTGCGCATAAAGACCTTGACATCAAAAGAGCTCACTAGTGCAGCAACCTCGCTTAGGAAGTCGTCCGTTTCGGCGTTTGAGAATTGATATTTTTTCAAATAGTTGATAACTGCTTCCTCAAAAATCTCGGCTCCAACCAAATCCTCAAGCATTCGAATCACTGAAGCGCCTTTGTCGTAGCTGATGGTGTTGAATATCGCGTTTATTTGACTTGGTGTCTCTACTGGTTGCACAATGGGATGTGAGGAGAGTTTTGCATCAAAATTAAGTACCGAATGTAGAACGGTTATTTGGAATTGGGTTAGCTGTAAAGTTTTGAATCCAAGATTAGGTTCAGGGCTGGGAAGCAGTGGGAACTGTGCACTCACCATGTCCCACTCGGGGTACACTGCATGTACGCCCTTGTATTGCATATAGCGAGCAAAGCCCTCGTTCAACCAGATATCATTCCACCACTTCATGGTCACAAGATTCCCAAACCACATGTGTGCAATTTCGTGTGCAAGAGTGCCAGCTACAGACTGTTTATTCGCGGTTGAACTGTAATTCTCGTCATAGAGCAGCGCCGTCTCCCGATATGTAACCAGACCCCAGTGCTCCATGGCACCTGAAGCAAAGTCTGGTATGGCAGCCATATCGAGCTTTGGCAACGGATACGGAATTTGATAGTATTGGATGTAGTACTCTGTCACAGCAACACCAAAGTCAAGTGCGAACTGGACCTTATCCACCTGATGGGGCGTTGCAAAAGCCCGCATGGTAAAATCATGCCCTATTCCTTTTGCATTGACATTCTTGCTCTTCGACTGAAAATCAGAGACAATGATGCAGGCAAGATAGGTGCTCATGGGCACGCTAGCTTCGAAAACGGTCTTAGTATTTTCACCGAAGTTGATGGAATTCTAAAATAACATTTGTAATTTAATGTTGATAGTTTAAGAACAGTTTTGTGACTTACCACTTGGTTCATATTAGAGAGCGCGTGGTAGGAGTCGGTGGGATGAAGGACAGATATTGTGAATGTAGCCTTAAACGCAGGCTCATCAAAACAAGGAAAGGCCTGACGTGCATGGCTAGGCTCGAATTTAGTAGTCGCAATCGTTCTGAGGCAAATGAAATGTGTTACTATTGCATAATGATCTTAGCTTATACAAATAATTAGATAGTTTTGCAACACTTATAAAACGCGTATACCCATGAAGGTCACGGTATAACAATTTCTTTTTAATAATTAATATCGGCATTTTAAGACCATGACGAAATGCTGTTAGTTCTCTCCAATGGCAAGCTTTTAGAATAAATCTAAATGAACGCACGAAGACTGTAAGACATATAATTATTTGTCCCTTATGCAACGGTTTTTGAAGCTATAAGTAATTTGTGTAGCATACTTTTAGGCATGCCAGAAATTCTGCTTTGAGAATAGAATGAATAAAACTTCAAAGCCACTTTTGTAGGAAAACCTGTTGGGCAGATGTTTTACATACAATATAGGGATTTTGGAAGGAATTCGTCTTAAGATTATTCCACACTTAATGAAGATAAAAGAAAATTTCTGCCTTCATCTACATATACGAATGTCTCTAGTCTTTGTAGGCAGTGGACTTACCTAGGCTCGTTAGCCGGCGTATAATAGGTACTGGTATAAAGCCCCTCCAGCTTGTTCAACATTTTTTGATTGAACATTATGCTCACAATTATTTTTTTCAAAGGTAGCTTTTCCACCATATCGATAATGAGCATTTCTCGTACGACGTCCAGCTCATAGTTTGCCACTTCCAATGCCGGAAAAGTGCCCGCAATTTCCACGACGACGCTTGTTATATTTAGTTCGTACGCATGTAGTATTATTTGCTTAGTGGGTTGATTTACTTGCACTTTAATCTCCTCCTGACCACTAAAATGTCCTCTTTCAAGGTCGGGATGTAAGTAAATTTTATAGCTCAAGGGCGTTAGCGTCCTTGGTAGTCGGTAGTCGATCTGGTGAGTAGTACAGAATTATTTATTATATTAATTTAATTTTTCAACCTCCTAAGAGCAACACTTTACATAAAATTATTCATAGAAAACGTATCACTCCGTATGAGCCAAGCTGAACTTTTCTTCAAATAGCGTAAAGTATTGATTCCATGCAGATGGATTTATTATTTTACTCACTTTTCTCTCATTGTCGTTGGTAGTTAGGCTGCCCCCGGCATGCACATTTATTAAGGTACAGAATATTGTCAATGCGAAGTAAAAGTCCTTAAGATTCATCTCTTTACACTCTTTGCTTAGAGTTTTTCTTAATATTCTCTTGTTCAGCTTTAGTGGAGAACTACAAACAACTTCTTTGAACTCTCGTGTGCAACTGATCCAAAATATAGTAACATTTTCGTAATTAAAACTGTTTCTTTACGGATTAACATTGTGTATGTCTAATTGATTTGTCTAGACCTGTACGTGCATGTTAAAATAATTTCATGAATTTATACTGTGTATGTAAAAAAGCCCACGAATGCGATTTTTTGGATAGCTGGACAGGAAATTGGGGGAATTATAAATGTTAGGGATGATGCATATTTATTTTTATACAATAGGTTCGACGTTTTATTGATGATTTCGTTATTCGACTAATCTGTATCTCAATGAACTTTATTGAGGATCATAAATATTTCCTATAGATTTTAAATAGGTACAGTACATACAAACATGGAATGAAATATATGTAGATTAACTATGGCAACTTCATATCGCGATCGTCACAAAATCTCATTACTGTTTCTCCAACCAGGCATCAACGCTTTCCAAATTCTCGGCAAGCCATACAATGTTGTTCTTCACCGTCTCCAATGCACGGACACGGGCCGCTGTTCCTGCGCCCGCCTCTGGATATTTAGCAAAGAAGCTCTCCATTTCTTCTAGTTTGGTTTGTGTGTTGAAACGTGCTGTTATCGACGGTATTAGATTTCCCAAATACCGCTCGTTTAGTCCAAAACGTTCAACCAGTTTGGTCCAATTCTCTCGTACGTGATCCCAAACAAGTGGCTCACCCACCGGATTGGCAGCAATGTAGGTCAAGCAGGTGAAGTAGTCCTGACCGCGCACATTTTCCTCATTCCAGGCCTCATCGATGTACCGCTGCAGCAACCATGGCTCCTGTACGGCAGCCAGTCCATACATGAGCTTCGACTTCTCACTGGCATCAGTCTCTGCAATGAACAGCTTCCAAACCGCCTCCCATATCTCTTGATTGCCCACCGACAACATGCCATAGTAGTATACGATTTCGCGTACATCCGGGTTTGGTCGCTCATTGGGAGTAGCAAGCCAACTATTGAACTGAACTCCCACCTCAGTGAGACAAGATTCTAGGCCCAGGGAGCAGGCGGCGCTAAGAGCGGTCACACGCAAGCGGCTATAAGTATAAATAAATAACGAAGTAAATAAAAAATAAAGTTTAGATAAGAAAGTTATATAAGCTATACAAAACGTACAAGGATATCATATATCTAGTTTCTTCTCTCAACTCAAAGCATTTTTGAAGAAAAATTGTGCACTTACTTGTTAAGATGGTCCTCGCCAACCGTCCATCCGAGGGCCGTATAGATTGGATCGATCAGTGCCGTCGCATACTTCTTGTACTTAACGTAGCTGTTGGTGTAGTAGAGCGTGCGTTTCAGCGAAGTAAGCTTGGAAGCTGCCACACTCCAGGGAACATAGTCCTGCTCTTCTTTTAAGTAACGCGTCATATCTAAGGCAACATCATATGGCAACTGGGTGGAGTCGGCCAGGGCGAAGGCATCATTCAGAAGCGATGCGCGATCGCCACTCGTGAAGGTATCCGGAGAGCTCTCGAGGCGTTCGGCCAACGATTCCCACAACGTTTCCTGATAGTTAACGCGATAGTAGCCGACTTGATCGTGATTAAATTTGATCCATTGCACTTCTTGGGGCACGCTGATGATGACTGTAAGGCCAGAGCAGAGATATATATTCAGATATCTGCCCCAACTCGTTTCGCATACACATGGCGCTACTTACTTTCGTTTTGATCGTAGCTGAACCAGTCTAACGTTACCGCCTCATTCAAACTAGTCGTATATGTGATAGGTATAGTCCAGCGGTAGCTGTCGAAATAATGTACGCAAATCGTCATCAGATAAAGCAGAAATTTATGTTATCTCTTTAATGCGACTCACTTGAATGGCGAAGCCTCATGCTCGACGTCATAGTCATTGGGATTGGACAAGAAGCGCTTCTGCGTCAATTTGTATTCAGTGTTGGAGATCTGCTCAACATTGACCACCGGTAAGCCCATTTGCATTGTCCATGTTAGCATAATGTCGGTCACATTGAACTCCAAGCCCAACTTGTCAATCTCAGCCAAAAAGTTGTCGGTGACAGCATTCTGGTATTTGTATTCATTCAGATAGTTAGTGACTGCCCTGCGGAAGTCAGGCTCGCCCAGAAAGCCCTCCAGCATGCGAATCAGTGAGGAACCTTTCGAATAGGTGATGGTATCAAAGATTTCAGTGATTTGATCTGGTGTTGTTACAGTTTGCACAATCGGGTGGGAGCCCAAGGTGGCGTCCAGTGTGAGTACGCCATGTAAGGTGCTGACTATAAATTGATCTCGCTGTGGATGGGAATAATGTCATAAACCGTTCCGCGTTATAAGTCTGAAAGGGCTTACCATTTGCCATTCGGGAAAGACTGCATTAACGCCCAGATACTCAATGAAGCTTGCAAAGCCCTCATTGAGCCATAAATCATTCCACCAATGCATTGTCACTATACGTGTAGAGAGATAGATATTGATAGATGCTTATCTAAGAGGTCTAATTATCGTGACTCACCCAAATTGCCGAACCACATGTGCGCAAACTCATGGGCGATTACGCTGGCGATGCGCTGCTTGTTTGCCGTGGAACTGGACTGTTGCTCGTAGAGCAAAGAGGTCTCCCGATAGGTGACGAGACCCCAGTGCTCCATGGCGCCAGAAACGAAGTCTGGAATGGCTGCCATATCAAGTTTTGGCAACGGATACTCAATTTGGAAATAGTTGATGTAATACTCGATGACACCTTTGCCCACATCCAGAGCGAAGTCCACTTTATCGATTTGTTCGGGCGTAGCATAGACACTCATGATGAACGATTCGCCAATGCCGTTGGTATCAATATCGACGGTTTTCTTAGCAAAATCAGAAACAATAAAGCACGCCAGATACGTGCTCATGGGCACGCTCTTCGTGAAATAGACCTCATTGTAGTCGCCCACGATCTTGGTCGTGGCAATGTCCATGTTGGAGAGCGAGTGATAGTCACCACTTTGCGGATGCACCAAAGTAATCTCGAAGGTCGCCTTCAACGCGGGCTCGTCAAAGCAGGGGAATGCTTGACGGGCATAAGTGGGTTCAAACTTTGATGTTGCTATCCTCTTCTTCTCGACGCCATCAGCTTTTAAGTACGATGAGCTGTAGAGGCCCACGATCTTACCCCCCATGCTGCCTTCAAAAGATAGCACAAGCTTTATATTTCTGTCTGGGATCAAATCTTCTGTAAGCTCGATAATGAGGAACTCGCGCACGGAATCCAACGATTTCCCCTTTATGGGTATATTATTTCCATCGTCCGTGTATGTGGCCGATATGTCCAATATTTCCAGGTTGAGTGAGTGCAGAATAATTTTATCGGTTGATTTGTTAACGGCAATAGTTATAGTTTCTTCACCACTAAAGTTTTCCGTCTCAATATTCGGGTGCAGATAAAGATCGTAGTTGATCGGTGTCAGCGTATCGGGAAGGCGATAATCTATTTCTACAGGAGTTTCGGGTGTTGGCGTTGTAACTGTACTACTCGTCTCTTCCGGGATGCTTGGTGGGGTGGTAGCCTGCCCTTGCCCCTGCTCCTGCTCCAATAAGTCGAGCTTTTCCTTCACCTCGCGTAGCTCATCCTTCAAATCAGCCTTCTGCACGGCCAGCACTATAGTGGAGATGGTGAAGGCCGTAAGTGCTAGGCCGAGTCCAATGGCCACTACTTTGGCGGTGATTATCATTTTGCCCCAATCGCTCTTCCGTGCTTATCCAAAGGGCACGGCAACTAAACCGCTACTAAAAGCCTACCACTCAGCACTGCTCGGAAAGTAAGCGGCGTCTATCTTAATTGAGTGCCCGCGATATCTCTATGGAGAATAGCGATTGCTAATCTAATCACTATCATGTGCGGTTTACCCAGTCGCTCGACAATGTGCCAATCCGTACATAATACAAATGACTTTGGCGATTTATGATCCACTTCATTTGAAAACGACAGTCAATCTAAGCCATACTCGTTCTTGGCTGTGGTGGATGGATTATTACAACAGAGGCCAAATGGTCAGGTTCACAACCGAGTTTGTTTAACAATGAATCATTTATTGTTTTCTCGCGAAAGACGATCGATATTGTTCAGACATATGTAGCTAAAAATGAACAGTATACCAAAACCTTGATCTGGTATAGCACAATCTTCGAAATTCCAACTATATATCTATACAACTACATAGATGGGATGCCCTGGCAACGTCTTGATCAACTTGCAAAATTGCCAAAAATCTGTCATGCGTTTTTCCTCTGCCACTCGAATTTCCAATCTGGTTTTGAGAAACTCCCGGCGCCCAAAGTTTCCAAGTTGCGAACGCAGCTCGACGCCCACATGTGTGTGTATTGCGTCCATGTATGGCGACCAATTGAGCAATTTTTTATTCGCACTACCTGCGCACGGCGCTTAGGTACGACACAGCAATGGGTGTGTGCTGCAAACACACACACACACACAGTCTCACGATATTTAAAAAAACCCTTTTCCGGTGGTGCGCCATGGCTCGCCCTAATTAGAGACTCGGTATTTTCATTGTGCATAGAAAACCCGAAGCAGGAAATTTCCGAGCACATTTTTGTTTGGCTAGCTTACGCGCTTTGTGCTGTTTAATGTCATTTGGCTTAATCCAAGCATTAACTTTAACTCGGCGCCGCACCTTGGTTCCGAATGGTTCAGTATTATTGATCGTATTTAAGATAATTAATTGTTTCCGTAGAGAATATTATTGAAAAATATAAAAAATTAGGTGCTATATTGCTCTAGAATTCATTGAAGTCTGTCGAAAAGGATTTGAATATAAAATTAAAAGGGTTTTTGGAATTAGAGCGATGGAAATGAAATTCAAATTTCTCCTTTTTATAATTTTTGATATTTTGATCAAATCAGCAACCGATTTGATTGTAATAAAACATTAATTTCATTGCACGAGTTCGAGTAAACGAGCATCTTTTGATGAAAAATCTATCTTTCTGTTAGTCCACAGAGAGCCTAGAATAAAGGACAATCGGTCGCTGGAAGGCCGGAAATACCAATAACAACAATGTCTGTCTGGGTGTCCGATAACGCGGGGTATTTACAAGAGCTTACCACAAATCGCAATTAATTTTCCAAATGATGCGCACACTATTATTGTCACATGTTTTGTTAGATAATTGGCTTGAAAGACGGCAGGCAGGCACGCCATGCCAATGCGCACAAACAAACGTCCAGGTCGTTGCCGGATCGTGCATTGATTGCGTTTCGGACCGGAAAAGCCGAAACTCTGAATGAACTTGGCTGCGCTTCATTCATGAGCACGTCGGGCGCCGCTTGAGCTCTACCTGCCCGGGCGTGGGAAAGTTGGCAAAATGTGAACGCATGCTGGTTCGGCAGCCATTTAGGTAGATGGGCGACAAAAATTGGGTTGCTCCGCAATTGCGTTGTTACCTTGGCCTGGGTTATTTTTGAAGCGGACATTGGGAGTTTTTGTGTGTGTGTGAAAAGTCCGACATGGGAAAGGAAAAAATGTCCGGTTTTTCGGCCCAGGCTCTTGTGTTTTCCATGGCGCTCAAATATCCCAACGGCGGACGGGCGATCCGTCAGGCCGATTGGTTCAGCGGTCTTGGTATAAAAAGCAAGTCCTGCACAGCTCAGCATTCATTCCCGAACACATCATCAAACCGTTCACATGTACCAGAAGAAGAATATTGACATGTTCTACATAATCAACATATTCCTGAGCATCAGCAGCACAGCAGCAGCGGCCACTATGAGTGTGGTGGAGCCCATCAACTACTACCAGTACACGCAATTTCAGGCTCCCTTGTCCTGGGAGACAATCAGCAGTCGTGGTGTCGAACAGGCATTGGAGAGCTGTCAGCAGAATTTCAAGTGGCAGCGCTGGAACTGTCCCAGCTCAGACTTTCTGCAGCGTCGAAACAAACCCAACATTGTCGCCATGGATCGTGAAGATATGTATGTGGCTGCCATATCCATGGCTGCTATTCTGCATACGCTAACCCGAGATTGTGCGAATGGTGTGATCGCTGGCTGCGGCTGCACGGACAATGCGCTGAACATACCCTGTTCCCACGAGCCTGCCAAGGCGTTGGCCATGTACGAGAAGCAGTTTGGCGGTAGCGGTGCGGAGCCACGCAGCGCTGCGGCACATAACCAGCGAGTGGTGGGCACCTTGCTCCGAAGATCGCTCGAGCAGGAGTGTCGCTGCAAGCAACTGGGTCCACAAGGTCAGTGCCTGGAGGAGCAATGTGTGGATGTGCTGAAGCCCTTCGATGCAGTCGCCCAGGAACTGCTGCAAATGTACGACGACGCCATCCAGCTGGACACCACGGCCACCAATTTAAAGATCATGTGGCAGAACATTCCGCTAGACACGCTTGTCTACATGCAGGACTCGCCCAACTACTGCGAGCCTGAGTCCAGTGGTCGCTGGAGCGGCACACGGGGTCGCCACTGTTCACGCACAGGCGGTGCAGCCGACGAGCGCCTCAGCTGCACCCAACTGTGCCGAGTCTGCGGCTATCGCGTCAGAGCCCAGCACGTGCGCAACGAGAGGCGGTGCAACTGCAAGCTCGCCTGGGGCTTCCGGCTGCAGTGCGATGTCTGTGTCCAGCTGGAACGCCAGTATTCCTGTTACTAGAGTAGGGCCAGCAGCGTCGCTTGCTGGTTGAGCCCCGCCGGAGTTTGCAGTGCAGTTTTCCAGCGCCCACGCGCCACCTATTAGGCTTAAGCTAATTTATTCGGGCAGCGCCAAGCCCACATTATTTATAATATGACTTAGCACATAGTACCAATTATGTATTATCAATACAACAATAAATTTATAAATTTACGAGCACTGTTTCTTATCTATTGCCTAATCGTATAGATTAACTTGCAAGGGCGGACTGATAGCATTGCGAAAAATGATTGAAAATATTCTACTTATATAGCACTATTGTTAAAAAGCTCAGATTTCGCTTAATGTTGTGGCACTCCCTAGGGGAAGAAACAGAAATTTAACAATAATTTTTCAGATGCCCATAATTTATTCAAATAAATATTGTGTTAATGGAATGTATTTTACAAATCTGAAACAGCAATCAGGAATACCATTAACAAGTAAGACCCCGAAATCAGGAATACCATTAACAAGTAAGACCCCGAAATCTGTTTTAAACACAATGTTGAACTGTTTCTTATGTTTTTCGCAGATATATTGCCAAAAGTATATAATGTGTGAATTTAAAATTATGAACATGTATGTAGGCTTAAAGTTAGAACCTCCGGCCTTCCACAAATTGAACTTGATTGAATCAGTCTCCAACCAGTTATCTGGCTTTGTGTTCAAGAAATTGGTAATAGAAGCAAGTCTTCGAAGAAAATAAATTCTGTATTTTCAATTTCCTTTCATTTTAAAATAGTCTTAAAGCCGACAAGTTGAAAAGCGACTTTTCAAAAAGTAATCGGACTCGGCATCGCTGTCAGAGTTTCTAACAACAAATTGCCGCGTCTCTGTACAGCGAATGGAGTCTTTTTGTTTACAAACATAATAATTGGCATTGCCATATATGTTGTAGTCGGTTTCAGTTAAGCATCTTACCTTCCATTGCATTGACAAGGCACAGGAAATCACCCCGTTTCTTTAATTTATTGTGCACTTCTTAGAAATTAAACATATCCTATTACAATCAAGGTAGCCTAAGATATCGCTTACTCTTAACTTATCCAAGTAGTTGGCTTTCCCTCCACTCTATAGCCATTGTACGCTGCGGAGGAAGCGGCTGCGGCCAACTCCGATCTTCTGCTTGGCTCGCCGGCCCAATACGACGGTGCCACCTCATAAGATTGCATCATTTTGTTGCTGTTCTTGATGGCCGATATAATGAGCAGGAATATAGCCAGCTTGCCGACCAGTATGGACTTGACCAAGAGCAGCTTCAACTTGGTCACCAAGAACGGCACTATGGCTGACTGTATGAGAAAGGGTAGTATGAATAGAGGCAGCACCTTCGTCATCATGTCATACTTCTTCCCGCGACCTGCAAAATTTGGCTATTACTGTCAATCCTTCTGGTGTGGATGGCCACTCAACTCACCTTCCTCGCTGTTGTCCAGGCTGAGCCAACGTGCAGCTAGAATCTCTCTCAAGTTGTCCCCATCCAGCTTCACACGCACAATATCCGCGTTCATGTCGAGACTGACATTGAGTCCGGGACCAACATGATAGCGCTCTATGCCGTCGTCTACGGTTGGCTCTTGCTCCGCTTTTTCATCGTGTTTCCTTTGAGGTGCTCCTGCGCCGTTTTGGTTGCGATATTTCCGCTTCCGCTTGCGTCGCTTTTTGCTGCTTTCTGCCTCCCCGTTGTCGTAGGTGGGAGTGTCAGTTTGAGCCTCCAGCAATGCCTCTGCATTAGACTCGCTGCGAAGCTCCTGTGCCAGCATGTCCTGACTAGCATCGGTGGCTGGTTGGGCTTCAGTAGCTGCGGAAGGCTCCTCGATGGCCCCGTTATTGCCCAGCGCTGGCGCACTTACACGATCTCGCAGACGCTTCTTGTATTCACTGGTGGTCTTATTCCCCAAATAGGTGCTCTTATAGTTTTTGTAGATGCCCATAAATATCTGGGTGTTCTTCTTAAGGTCTGCAGGCGACTCGTTTGTGGCCAGACCACGAGCGTTCTCCGATTCCGATTTCGGCAGCTCCGTCTGTGGCATCTCACTATTGTCCAGACCCCTAGCCAAGGTTGCGCATAGCGCAAAAATTAATAAAAATCTCACAAGACTGCTCATCTCTGGTACATTTCACTGCACTGGCTATCTATCTCTGATCTGCTCTGATTGCTCGCTCGATGTCGTTGTGTACGCGGTGCTGGCCAGCAACAAAATGTGGCACGACTCTCGACCGCCATGCATTTTATTAACTTCAGCGAAGCTGTCGCATCGCGCCAGAACAAAGTGTGCAGCAAAGAAAGCTAGACTTGCAACAGGTCTGGCCGACAGCAGGCTGGAGAATTGGGTACAGCGAACAGGCAGGCAGCCGGTGCCAGCATTCTACATACTGAAGAGCAAGAAGTTGCCACCAGAACACGATCTGAAATCTTCTTAAATGAAATTGCCTTGAGCGGGTCGGGCCGCCTCTCCAAAACAGAACTTGCCAGCCTGCTGCGAATGTGGGTAAATATCTGGAGTAGACCCACAATTTCTCAATGATCTGCCTTATTGATTTCTTTTAGCTGTAATTGTCAGCCAGCTGGCTGACCTGCTATTAACCATAAACATTATTGACTTGTTAAGCAGTCGCAGTCACTGTCGACTAACGGTCGCAGTTTTGGATTCTTTAGCTGGAGACGCCAATTAGCCGTGACGGCGATAGCATGGGAAAGTTGTTGACAAAGTTGGCGCGGAATTGGCGCAAGTTGATCTTTATAGTAGGTGGGGTGTTTGCCAGCACCAGCATCTGCTTACCAGCTCAGAGTGTAATGAATCCAGAGTAGAAAGTAAATTCTACGCATGTCAATAAGCATAAATCCGTCTGACAAATTTGGTCTTTATGATTACTTTCACATAATCATATGCCCCTTCGATTTATACCTTTACACTCGCATTGGGGTCCAATGAAAGTGAATTGTGCCAAAAGGCCTACAAAATTCAGGTTCTTGAATGAAAGAAAAGCCATTACAATGCGTCAAGTAGCATACTACGGGTATGAGCGTGTTTTCCAAATCCAAAATTGAAATGCGACGCCGCACAGTCAATTAGTTATCGCCTGCGTTTTATAATAATTATAAATCATTATCAGCACAAGCTGCCGAAAATAACAAAATCGAAAGCGAATTTGTCGACTGGCAGTGGGCTAGTGGGCGGGCACCCGCCCTCAATACAACCGACCACCGCCCGAGCCATCGTGCAAGAATGCTCCACCGCTCCAACTGCAACATGGACACGCACCTCGACTGTCTACAGCCAAATCCGAAGCGACAGTGCTGTCCAAAATGCGTTGAATGCGCGCATGCCCCAAAAGGGCCAGTCAGTGAAAATGTGCAGTAAACTGTCGAATAGACGACCCCCAATGCACTTACAGACAGTCTGTAATGGCACGTCAAATAGAATAACTACTTTTTTCTAAGGCAGAAGTGTCCGAAAAGCTGGGAAAATGAAATCAGCACAATCAAGGGTGTCGTTGGAAATTCTAAAGACCTTTCTTTCAACTCACTTGCAATTTAGCCGACACATTCTTAAGTATCTCATGGCTGGGGTTGAGTTCTATGCTCAGTTCTGCACAAGGGCGTAGGCAGATTAAGCAGGGGGCGTTGCCCCACCTACAAAAAATGTTGCCCTATAAAGTCGACGTCTTTAAATGGAATTGAGTTGGGTTTGTTGAAGTTTTTTTATTGATCATATGCATAAGTTATTTTTTAAATGTATCGTGCATTACTTAATCAAAATATTAATTTTCTGGTCCCCCCTTTGCTTAAAGCTGCCTACGCCCTTGGCCCTGCAAAACATTTATTAATAATTAATTACATTTAACTTGCATTTTGTAGTAGGTAATTCTTTTAAAAAAATAACACATACTATTTAATATTTATTCGATAATCGGTTTTACTTTAATAGCGATTTCAATTAAACTCCGATGTTTTCATCATTTCATCATACCCCCTTCTTAATCGTCTACTATATGTGAGGAGTATGAAATATAGTCTGTCTCTGGGACAACTATATTACATTATTACTGATTTTTTTATTTTCACTAATATTTGTTTACATCTTCTGTTTTTCTACAACAAATACATATTTTTGTAAATTGCAAAGTGCGGCATTTAATAATTAATTGTTCAAATTCTTTCATATTCATATGCTATGCTATTCAGGAAAATCTGTAAAATTGAGTCTTCTAATGTACTTGCATGCCTTAAAATGTAAAATGTAATTCCCTAAAGAGTTGCGTATTCGAAGCTTGACTGTAATATAATCAGCAACTTAATGCATATTCAAAGATATTTTCGTGTAGCGCACAAAATTGGGCATTCCAAATAAACGTGGCCAAATGGAAGAGCGTTGTCCAAAGCCCATTGCTCACTGCCCCATGCCCAGTGCCCCATGCCCATTGCCCAGCGGTCAGCACGATTCGCTTGTTTTGGCGCACGTTCGTGACCACGTCCGGCTGTCGAATTTCAAATAGTTGCCGCGTATGTGGAGACGCTGATAAAAAGCCAATGTCAATGGACAGAACGCATTCAATTGTCTGCGAGTGTTTGCGTGGCTAAGTGGCTAAGTGGTTGGTGCGGCAGTGCATAACGGATTAAACGAAACGAAGGATTAAACGAATAGTTAACCAAACCCCAAATATATTATCAAAATGGCTATAGCTCAGAAAATTGCCCTTGCCCTTGTGCTTTTGTGCCTTGTGTGTGATGTGGTGCTGTGTCAGCAAACGGGCTCCAACAGCAGCAGCAGCAGCAGCGATGCCGATGTTGCTGGTCAGTAATCAAGAAACCAAGTCCTCATAAGTGTTAATTAATGGAACTATAAAATGCACCCATAAAGTGGCTTCATTTCATGGACAAATAATATAATTAATGCGTGAAGAAAAGTGTTTTAAAATTAATTAATTTTTTGAAGAGATCTCTTTTCCTGCAATATGTCTTAGCATATTATATTATTAATCTATTCTTATTTGCAGAGAGTCGCACATTTGGACATCATTTCTTGCGCCGCATGAGCTTCGCTGTGGTTCCCGGCGCCTTCGTGGTGGGCGTTATAACCACGCTGCTGGCAGCCCTAACTGTGGTATCCATGAAGGGTCTCGGCGTGGGCGTCATCTTGCTGGTGCTGGCCATTGGCCAGATGTTGTCGCGTGCTCTGCCCGTGCAAGCAGCGGCTGCCTATGTTGCCCCTCCAGCCCCCGTCCCGGTTGTCTACTCGCACTCGCACACGCAGCAACCAGTGTGGCTGGAGAAGGAGTGGTGAAGGATAATGCGCCTGCATGTCTACAAAAGTCTTACCTCAGCGCAGCATGCAAACCAAATAATAATTTAAGACTAGTTTAAATTATTTATTTATATTTAAAAGAGAACAGGCATTATTTAACAAATTAAACAATCCATATTGAAAAATGCTGATTCAACTGTTTTGAATGCTTACTTTTTTCCCCCCTTTTTTCAAGCTAAGAAAAGTGAAATTTTAAAATATTTACTCACACGCCGGTCACTCATTTTGTATGCGCAACGGAGCACCCACGATTTACGGTTCTTTGAATTGCTCTTCCGTTGAAGCCACCGGCACGTTCCACATCCAAAACATTTTAGAGAAACATGCAACCACACATGGCCAAAGAAAGTCAGCCGCTTAAATGGGTCAGCGTAAGTCGGCAGATCGAATATCATGGGGTCTAGAGCCATAAATGCTCTCCTAATTCGGATTTCAAGTGATTTGGGGAGAACCTTTTCATATACAAGTAACAGTTACTAAATACAGTTCGAGCCGAGCTGTAAGGCGCCTTTAAGAATTAGTTCGATTAGATGCTCAAATGCCTAGAATGTTCGATTCAGCTTCCATTAACTTTTATTCTTATTTACTGTAGCATAATGAGGCCTGTTTGGTCATCCGGCCAAAAACAGCCAAAACCAGCAGCACATCATAGTTAATAAGTAACGTAAATAACTCAATGCAAAGTGCTCGTTTTCTTGTCGCTTGCTTTGCATAGCAAGCCGAGCACTTAACGTTTCCTTTTGTTGCCATAAATTTGCATAGGCTGCTGCGCAGCCGCCACATATGTACTAGTTATTGTCGCTAACTCTGCAAGTCAAGTTCGTTTTTCGTTATCGCATCTGGTACGGAGAAGCTTAGCTTTCCGTCTACCAGCATAAACTTTGTAAATCTCGGCGATCGCTACCGATGCAAAATAAACATTTGTGCACCTCTTTTAAATTGAACAATTTCGTTTTCGCTTATTTTGCAATTATTTCGCCAACATAATTTCGCATATTTGGAATCATAAAAAAGCTTATGATTATACATTTTGGTGACCCCGACGTGATTAATAATTCCACAAAACCTTGCTTAATCGCGTTAAAAAACAAAAGCGTACATAATTGAGCTCATTGTACACAAAAAATATTCAAGTACATAAGTGCAAAAATATAAGTTCATAGTGCCTACTGTACCGCCAATAAGCAGCCGTGTGAAGCGACGTTTTTGAGGGCAACGAACATCAGCAGATAAAACAGTTATTCGCGCGCGTCATTTATCTCTGCTATTTTCGGTTTTCGGTTCTCTCTCGCGTTCACAATGTCTGAGAGCGACGGTCAAATGCGCGCCTTCCAAGCTGTCGCATCAGCTGCTGCTGACGTAGCTGATGCAGCGACGCTTGCGCCAACAGCTTCGACGTCAACAGCTGTGGGCAATGCAGTGCAAGCTACGAGCAATAGTGTTGAGTTTTATAAGCGCAAGGCGCAATCATTATATGCGTGGGCGCTTTCTATTCAAAATAAAATAAATGATTGTGAAATTGACAATATTTCAGAAAGTGAGCTGCGAAAACGTGTGGAAATGCTGCAAAGTATTCAGGCCTCTTTTAATTTGGTGCATGACAAATTAGAGGAGCTGGACTTTGACGAGATTGGCAGCAGTTTGCGCTGCAACTTTGCTGAGCTGGTGGTCTGCTTGGAGGGCCGCCTGCTAAATGCAATACAAAGGATGCAATCTGGCGCGCCGCCGTGTTCGACGCTTCGGCAAGATGATCAGTCTACCATTGTGATAACTCGGTCTCGTTTGCCTGAGCTTAAGTTGCCTACATTCAGTGGTGGATATACTGAATATGCAGATTTCGCTTCGATGTTCACATCAGTGATCGCCAAGGATCCAGATCTCTCCGATGTGGAAAAGTTGCAGCATTTGAGGTCAAGCTTAAGAGGATCTGCGTTGGGCACGATTCGTGCGCTTGAGATAAGTGGTGCAAATTATTCAGTGGCGTTAGACCTACTCGACAAGCGGTTTAACAATAAGCGTCTTATTTTCCAGGCACACATCTCCGAGATTTTGGGCATTAAAAAGGCTGAAACTACAAGCAAGCTGCGAGAGTTGTCCGACAAAGTCAACGCAAATATGCGTGCACTGTTGAGTTTGGGCAATATGCAAGATGTAGCTGGCAGCATCGTCGTTCAGACAATTTTGGGCAAGGTGGATGCTGCGACGCAGGCAAAGTGGGAGGAAGCCGCCCCATTAAACGTTATACCGTCGTGGGAGCAATTTGCGACGTTCTTGGATAGCAGGTGCCAAAAATTGGAAAACATCGAGCATGCAATGGCATCATATTCGTCGAATTATCAGGTGGGAAAGAACAAAAACACTAACACCAAACGCTCGTTTGTCGCCACTAACCCATCCGCAAATGGTTGTCTGTTTTGTGACATAAATGCACACGAAATATACAGTTGCCCACTTTTTGGTAATTTGTCGCCTGTACTTCGTTTAAAGGAAGCGAAACGCCTCTCTCTGTGTATAAATTGTCTTAGAAAGGGACACAGAATGAGAACTTGCAATTCTGGATCGTGCAGAACCTGTGGTGCCAAACATCACAGTTTATTGCATTTTAATAATTCAGCTGCCGTAAATTTGATGCCTGAGCAATCGTCCGCTTCTGACTTACACTCGCGGCCGTCTTCATTGTTACTGCCACGTAGCGCTCTCGCAGCTGTTTCGCCATCATCGCTTGCTTCATTGCCTGCCCAAAATCTCGGCTCAGATGTTGTGCTCTTGGCCACCGCTGTCATCAGCATTCAAAATCGCGCCGGGACTTGGGTACCCTGCCGTGCACTGCTCGATTCCGGATCACAGTTGCACATAATAACTTCGCGATTCGCTCACCGGCTCCAACTTCGAAAGACCAAGTCGTCGGCCTCTGTGTCTGGTCTTGGTGACGTCAGTTTCAAGTCTGATGGTTGCACTGTGCACTTATGCTTGCAATCATTGGTCACTGACTATTCCGCAAATATTACTGCTTTGGTCGCTCCTTCCATTACTGAGAACCAACCAAATTTCACGGTTGACATATCTCATTGGGATATACCAAGCAATGTCCGCTTAGCTGATCCGGCGTTCTTCAAGCCACAGCAAATTGATATGCTTATCGGTGCCAATTTATTCTACGAGTTGTTGTGCGTAGGTCAGATTAAACTGGCTGATGGCCTGCCACTTCTGCAAAAGACTCGTTTGGGCTGGATAGTTACTGGAGGTGGCTCGCAGCGTCAGAAATCTGCTTTGGTTGCATCCAAGTCTCCGTCTACACAGGATTGCAATACACGAATCGAGCAGATGGTTCGCTCTTTTTGGGAACTCGAAAGTGGTGTCGATCCGGCTGTAAAACTTACAAAAGAAGAGTTCGACTGCGAGGAGCATTTCAAGGCTAATTACAGGCGCCTGCGTACTGGCGAGTATTCCGTCCGGTTGCCTGTAAAGTTCAGCACAGATCTGCTTGGCGATTCCTATACGCAAGCCTATCGTCGGTTCATAAACTTGGAGCGAAAGTTAGAACGCAATCCACTTCTCAAAGCACAGTACTCTGCATTCATTAAGGAGTATTTAGAGTTGGGTCATATGTCGCTTGTATCGCCAGTTTCGCTAAATTTGTGCAAGTATTTCCTGCCGCACCATTGCGTTCTGAAGGAGGACAGCACAACGACAAAGTTGAGAGTCGTGTTTGACGGTTCCGCATCCACATCCTCTGGTCATTCTTTAAATGACATCCTAATGGCTGGTCCTTCCATTCAGTCAAAGCTCGCAAACACGCTTCTTCGATTTCGCACGTTTCCTATCGCTTTAACAGGAGACATCTGCAAGATGTACCGCTGCGTGCGAGTATCAAATCCGGATAGCTATTTTCAATGCATTCTATGGCGTGACTCGCCTCAAAAGCCTATTCAAGTTTTCCGTCTTGATACCGTCACTTACGGTACAAAGCCTGCCTCGTTTCTCTCCGTTCGCACTATGCATCAGCTGGCTGAAGATGAGCATGAGCTATTTCCTATTGGCTCCGATATCTTGCGCCGCGATTTTTATGTTGATGATTTAATCACTGGTGGTGCTTCTACAAACGAAGTCATAGAAATTATGAGACAAACCACAGGGCTACTTGCCAAGGCTAATTTCAAGCTAAGGAAGTGGTGCTCCAGCAATCCTGATGTGCTCAAACAAGTTCCGGAAGAAGACAAAGAAACTCTAGTTAAGTTTGATGATGGCAGCGACATAACAAAAACTCTAGGACTGTCGTGGGATCCTGCGACGGATTTATTCATTTTCACGTTTCTGCCAGCATTGACATCTGGTCGAATTTGCAAGCGCACTGTTTTGTCAACTATTGCCAGATTTTATGATCCGCTTGGCCTTATTGGACCAGTAATCGCAAAGGCTAAGATATTCCTGCAGGCGCTTTGGAGAGAAAGGCTTGATTGGGATGAAAGCCTTTCAGCATCATTGACAACATCTTGGCATAATCTTATTGCAGATTTTGAGCGCACAAAGCAGCTGAAATTTCCAAGGCTTGCACTTTCTGCTGGTGTTTCCATTGAAGTGCATGGTTTTAGTGATGCCAGCATAGATGCCTATGGAGCTTGCGTCTACATCATTTCGACCACGCAAGGCCAATCTCGTGCGGAGCTGCTGTGTTCCAGATCTCGTGTGGCGCCGCTCAAATCGTTGACCGTGCACCGACTAGAGTTGTGCGGAGCCGTTTTGCTGGCACAACTCATAAACGAAATATCTCGTATGGAGTTATTCGACTGCAAGTTTTATTGTTGGTCTGATTCTGCAGTAGCGCTATCTTGGATTCGCAGCGAGCCATCCAGGTTTCAAATTTTCGTTTCCAATCGCATCGCAACTATTCAAGAGTTGACCTCTGGCATGGAATGGCGATATATTCCAACCGATTTGAATCCTGCGGACATACTTTCACGTGGAGCTTTGCCCAGCGAATTAGTCCAGTCCAACTTGTGGCTACATGGTCCCGCATTTCTGACGAAG